AATGAAAAGATGACCCAATAAAACAGAGATTTAAGAGAAATGAGAGTATTCATTCAGAGGAATAATAAAATAAATTTGTCCCCTTTATCATTGAATTAACCCTCCGGGATTTGTAATCACTTAGAAATAATTGAAACCTTAGTATATTTGCTCTTTCTAATATGAAAAAATTTACTTAATGTTTGAAACAATATACGAAGTATAAGTTTGAGATATTTAAAATAGATACGTAAGTTTGAGTTATTCATCTCACACCCTTTCAAAGTTTGGTGTATTTTAATTATTTTTAATTATTTTCCCCTTTTGGTTACCAATTTGTTTGCATGTGCTGTGGAAGATTTGCGACACCGGAGTGTTAGGCAAGGCAGGGAAGTTCTTCGATCAGGTAATGATTAGGCATTTATGGGTACATGGCGGCAAGAGGTTTCAGTCAACGATGGGTTAGGACTGAGGGGGTGGTGGAAGATTTCAGTGACCATCGAAATTTGGGATGACGGAATATATATACATTTGTTACTTGAGGAAATTTTTGAAAATTTGTAAAATGTTCATAACTTTCGTATAATCTACTTTCAATATATTCATCTTTTATTTCTTATACTCATCTCATAGAGATAGATATTTTTTTGTCGAATTAAATTTACTAGAATTTATATTACTCCATAATAAATCAAGGTTAATGTGATATGTCAATGTATTAATTACTCTTCAATATGGAGTAAATTTTCCCGTGCATCGCACGGGTAATATACTAGTGTGTGTATACAATAAATCATTTTTTGTATCTTATAATTTATTAATATATATTAGAATGAGATGAACGACGGATTATCAATGTCTTCTCTATATATAACATTTTAATACATATATTCAATTATTAATATAATTAAATAGATTAACTATTCAAATCTGAGTATTTTTTCCCTTAATTTGTGAAAATTTTAGCGTATCATGAATTTGATTTAATATATTAATTTTTAATTATTATTTAGAGATAAACTTTATGTAGATTCAATGGGTAACAACTTCCCACAAATAAAAATACATACTAGCAAATTAGGTTACGACGGGGCGGGTCATGGGTCAACAAGTTTGGACCCGTGCAGGTCACGGGGTCGGGTCGGGTCCGGGTCTTGCAATACCCGCCCCGACCCATTGTCATGCCTAAAAATGGGACATGGTCACATGGGTATTTAAAAAATAAGTGAAAGATAAGAATCGGCTAATCATAAAACGCAACAATTCATAGCTTTAAATAATTTGGCTGTTTGGAGTAAAAAGCCAAATGAAAAGCAAGCTAACCAAACATATTATTAGCTGATAAATCTGGTCAAAAAGCTAAATATTAGTCAAATTGACCAAAAAATGGTCGATGGGCTCCTAACCAAACACCAACCCTATTATTTTTTAATATGTCTACTATGTAAGTATATATGACAACCAAACACCAAAAGTACATCAACTAAAACGCTAAAAACATTAAAAAAAAGGCTCAGAAAAGTTATTCTAGGAAATACAAAAATTGAATCCATAGAATATTATCAAACTAAGAACTACGTATCGGGATAGAATTCCTGCAAGACTTCTTATTGTGTCCACCTTTCTTATATTGTGAACTACGTTGTCGGGAACCAAACTCTCCAGTTGAACTTCGGAAAACCCACGTATAGGAGGATCTTCATCTCTGTGAGCAAGAGTCTTCTTTAGCTTGTTCAGTGTCACACCATAATCTCTATTCATGTCAATCACTATATCATTAATTAGGAACATGTGATATTCTAAATGCATCTGCATATCAGTGCTTTATAAGTTTTGCAATAATTTCATACGTTGATTGATGGTGACGACATTGTCTAAACCAATGGAACAAGAATGATCAAAATCAAACTTGAAAAGAAGAACACATAATATTAGATAAATATAGGCACATAGTCCTTACACAGTCCTCTAACAAGTACAAAAAGACATTAAATTAAAATAAAAGGAAGTATATAAAATTCAAAACAAACACAAATATTACAAGTCAGGCAGGTATTCAAACACCTTCATCACACCACGAAGCTAAGACAACCTTCCTTCTATGGAGTGCATCACAAACTCATCCTAGGTCTCAACAATATTGACACCTACAATCATCTCGCTTTTGTTTTGCAACATCAAACATGCTTTGTTGAATATCAGCAAGCACATCTTTATACGATCAACCATGTTTGCCGGTAAGCCAACAGAACATCAATTTTGTCACACCTCTTAACACTCACGTAACAAAGAAACATCATTGATCATTTTGTATTCTTTAATACGCTTCAAACTACTATTGACAATGTCTTTGGATTGTATTTAAATCCTAAGAGGAACCCCCTCCAGTTCCCAATTAGAACATTTCCAGTGAGACGAATATATAGTGTTCCCTGATGTCTGCCTCCACATGAATGCCAGCTTCCACCAAGTTCCTAACAGTGGCATATGCTTCAAAAATCACTTTGGTGTCACCCCCCTCCCTGTAAGACACAATGATGAGTGATGACAATAATGACATATTAACAACCACTTGGATTGGTGCAACTTTTGGTGAAAAAAACAATCCTTCATCTTCCCCATGAACCATGATCATCACTCCTATATGTCGCAAGACAAATACTAACACAATTAACATGGTGATTGAAGTATACCACAATTCTTCAACGGGACCGCCATTGTTATTTCATCAAAATAGACTCATTCACCAATAAAAAAAGTTTTAACTAATTTTATTCTTTTAGTAGGACTAAACAAGTTATGTCTTTAAGATAAAAAATAAACACTCATATTTGTGCATTTCCTTCACATGTTCACTCTTACTTGTAGCAATTTCTTTAACCTTAACCTAGGCAACTCTCGACAAATATGCATGTTTACTTGTCTAGTGCAGATTAATCGCATAAACACGACGATCAAAGAACTATACGAAGTAAAAATAAACAGAAATCTACATTGGAAACTAAAAACATAGAAGAGAAACTGACGGACAGTGTACCCGGGGGTAGCTTATCCGGGGGGTTATTATGAGAATAACCTAGAGAGAAGTCGGAGCAAACAAGTAAGAGAGAGAGAGAGAGAGGCGATTGTATTAATGAACTTGAGATGTTCTGGTCCTTTACAATGGGAAAAGGGGTGCTATTTATAGCAGCAATAAATGCGATGAGAGTACACGTGTCAGTAATCTAACAGTCGAGGGGTCACCTCAATCGGGGGGGCACCGACACTCGCATGTGCACCGCATTAAATGCGGTGGGTGGATGTGACGCCGCATTAAATGCGGTGGTTGCTTGTCTCCAAAGGGAATCTTCGATGATTGAGCTGTTAGCCGAAGGCTCTCCCCGCGACCGAGGGCTTTGTGTAGCCGAAGGCACGAAAGTGCCGAAGGCTTCCCTGATGCCGAGGGCACAAAAGTGCCGAAGGCTCTTGAATTCTGCCATTTTCTCCCAGTAGCTTTGTATGCTCAAATCTGGCTGCCCTGTGAGTTCTAGAGCCTTCGGCCATATTGCCGAAGGCTACCATGGGCTCACCTTGGGCTCCTTTGAGCTTGGGCCGCTGTGTTTTGGGCCTCTCGTGCTTCTTGGGCCTATTGGGCCTGTGCTGGAATAGTAGGAGTCTGTGGGCCGGGGGTTCCCGGGCCATATACTCCATCAGAAATGTTGTGAATTGCAATTTCAAGGCCAAAATTAGAATTGAAACTAGAAGATGACAAATTCATACAGATAATATAAATGAAATTCATTTATACATGAAAACATCAAACCATAACAAATTTTTAAATAAATTGAGTAATAAAACTTACCGATGAACCAATGAAAGATTGCAATAAAACAATTAAAATGTCCACCGAATAACACTGTAATAGCCCAACGCATTCGAACGAAGCATATGATAATTTTACAGACGATGCGACTTGAGATTGGGGTCGACAGCGGAAGTCGTGGGATGTACATAAACACTAATGCTTCTGATGCCACCATAAGCACTCTGAACAGTTCCATGAAAGTCATAAATGGAGAATCACCGGCACTGCCTAATCGGAATTTGAAGACGCTGTCACCGTGGGACGATTTCCCATTAAGATGAAGAACGATAGAAATAAAAGAAATTGTTGCGGAAAAAGATTGGTCATTGTGCAAGTTACTTGTCTTTATTACGCAAAATAAAGTGGAGGGTAAAAAGGGAAACATAAAAATTAAGTTTCCTAAAATAGAACTAAATAAAGCTTAGCCTACAAACAACAATTTTACAAAGGGAGATTTACCTTAATAGGATCAAAACATGGCTTTTTTTCTCAAAATAGGAGTACCTAGTTTAAACATCCTTAAATAGGACTTTTTATTAGTGATTGGACCAAAATACCCCTCACAACCTTTACCACTGTTGCCCAGGGACTGCCGGACCGCCGCCTGCCACCTGCCGCCTGCCGCCTGCCGCCTGCCGCCGGAGCTCCGGCGACCGCCGCTGGAAAAATTCCAGATTTTTTTTCCTGGAGGTTTGCCAACATTCTGCTGCCGCCGGCCGCCGCCGCTGGCGCCGCCGCCGGAAACTGCCTCTTCCGCTGCCGCCAAGCTGCCGCCACCTCTGGACTGCCCCGCTACCAACGGACTGCCTTGGTTGTGCAAGAGAACTAGGGGGCAATTAATTGGGTTAATTAATTGTTGGAGTTGCCGCCGCCACCGCCGGAATCCGCCGCCGGCCGCTGTCGGAGTGCTGCCGCCACCACGGACTGCCCCGCCACCGACGGACTGCCTTGGTTGTGCAAGGAAACTAGGGGGGCAATTATTTAGATCAATTAATTAATTAAATAGGATTAGGGGTAAAAAAGGTAAGATTAGTCCTATTTAGAGAAAAACATGCATGTGATCCTATTTTGAGAAAAAGATTTGGACAATTTTCTCTTTTACAAACATCAATTTTCTTGCGGAGTAAAATGTTTCTATACAATACCTTCAACCTTAAAATTTACCTAATCTTGTAATGTCAAACCCAGTGTTGACAACCAGCCAGCCATTAAAAGTTAAAACCCCCATCATTCCTTTCCCAGCTGACTGTCTCTCCCCCGATCCCTGAGGTTTCAATTCTCCGGTGCGCACACCCCTTACCCTCCCCAGGCCATCATCTTCACAAACACACTGTGATATCTTTGCTCCCCTCCGGTAATCGAATTCCTCCCCTCCTCCGCTCTTAAGACTTTATACGCACTTGTCCCCCTCACAAATCTGGTCTTCAAGGGCATACAATCTTCCACTCCAAGACATCTAAAGACATCTTCGGAAATTAGAAAAGGTAATCTTTAATTTTTAGAAGTATATGTTTCTCCATTTTATGGCATTCGTGGCCTACTCCTACACCTAGCATAATACTTTTACCTTATAGAACAATCGATGCATGTGTTTGTAGTATTGGAATATTAATATTTATGTGCAATTGTTTCAGTAGTTTAACCTTCTTTTAAATTTTAAACGGCATGTGAATGAATCCGTAGTAGAGACAAAAGTATACCTTCTTTTCTAGATGTTCTGTTATAGTTATCACTTATCTTATATATATATATATATATATATATATATATATATATATATATATATATATATATATATATCTACTTATATGTATATATATTATATGTACTTACCCACTTTGAGTTAAAATCTATTCTTTAGATAGGCTTGATCATGTAAACACACACATACTTATAAAAATATAAACGAACGTATGCAGCTGTAAGCATAAATGGTGGCACTTTTGGATTTCGGATCTAAATATTTATTCTTTCAAACTGATTCTTTCTTCATATGCCTAATGACTTCAGCCGAGTGGTCATTTTTGACAAAAAATACATATGATTATGTATCAAACTTAAAAAAAGTGTCAATAAAAGCTTCTCAGAGTTTTGTAGTTTTGTTTAGTTGTTGAATGTTGATCCAGAGGGTGTGCTATATTGATACCCAAAAACATGGAGGTTACCACAACACTTTTATAGCTCCATATCTGGTCAATTTGAGGCTTTGAGCACACTGCTGGAGAAACTTTATGACCACCCCATTTAGCGGAACTTAGTAGTCATTCTAATTCAACATTGAATGGCATTGATTACCTTATAGTTTTGTCATTTTGTGTATGCTGCGTATGCATATCCTGCCTAGTCTACAACTACCAAAGCAAGTTTATCACATCATTAGTTTGACTAGACATGCTTGAATAGATTACTCAGCATGCGAGTTGACCCGTTCTCGACCCATATTTCCAATTGTTTTAGGCGGGGAAGGACTCTTATTTCTCCCCTTTTGTATATAGTATGATTCCTTGGAATTCTTTTTTGTTGCATATATTGAATTTCCTTAACATTAAATTACTTCCCACTATGACTGATTGATCAATATTTTTGGTCTTCTCCCAGTCTGGAAACACAGTTCTCCAAGAAACTCCACCCGCTCGCTAGCTCGCTCGATCACATCAGTCTATTTTACCCTCTCAGTAATATAGATATAGTGGTCGCGATTGAGACCCTATCAATCAAATGTTCAATTCATTATTCATGTGATCGCTTACATCCTCGCACAAACCTTATTAGCTGTTGTTCTTGGCAAAGTTGCTTTGCTGCAGAACTTCGCCCACATAATGGCTAACCCATCGAACCGCCTCGATGTGTTTAAATTTGATGAAGAAGATGAGCATCCACCTATTCTGGCACGAACTCGCATTTGCTCAACATCATTAGCACCCCTAGCACTAAACAAGAACAAAGTCATCGAAAATGGTAAGGCCGTAAGGGTTTATCTGTGCTAACTTAATCTTCTGTTAATATGCATTGTTTGGCGACATAAACATAAAAAAACCATTGCTGACTTAGATTTTCTAGAACTGCATTGCTGCTCTTTTCTTATCTCTCTCAGGTGGTGAATAAATTTTGTGGAATTTTTTGACTTATTGTGCTACCCCCAAGGCTTTCTAATGCACATGATTTGAGTAATGCAATAAAAGAGAGTTTATAGCGAGTCTGGTATTTATAATAGTATTGTTATTTCTATTGTTATATCATTATGACATCATCATTTTGTTATTGTTATTTTTAATATTATACTCTGGAGTCATTCCTTTTATTATTATACTCTGGAGTCATTACTTATTACTGTTATAATATAATATCTGAAGTGAGTTGCTCTCTACCAGTAATGGTCTGATATTCTAGAATCTACTGGAAACTTGGAATGCATAAAGGTTAAAGAATAGCATAATATTATATAGATTTTGGTTCAAGTGAGAAATGCACCTAATGTGAGAAATGAGAATGAATCTCAACCGTTAGATTTACGATGTTGCACTAAAAATAACTTCATGCTGGAGTAACATTTAAATTTTGCAATGTTGCACTAACACTGTTTCATGTTGCACTAATATTTTACGATGTTGTACCAAAACAGCCTCATGTTGCACTAGGCAAATGTAATACGAATTTTTCAGACGTGTTTCCAAAAATGCCACTGTGCCAGGTTGCATCTTTTAGTGCAACATGTAGGTTTTCTAGGAATAAACTCCCTTGAATATTATTGAGCCATCCGGCATAGGTATTTATACAAAGTACAGATAACAGCTTTGCTGTTCAGATCCTAAAAAATAGGATCTTTCTACCTGCGTCCTTATCTAACAATTAATGAAGTCTATCAGTAGTCTATCTTCTCTAATTCTTATCTAATACACTACACACGTACATTAAATAAAAAATTACAAACATATGTCACATTTTCTACACTCCCCCTCAAGTTGGTAAGTATATATCATACATTCCCAACTTGCTTATAAGTAGCTCAAACACTGGTTTGAACAATCCCTTTGTGAAGATATCAGCTGTTTGTTCCTTTGTAGATATGAATGGAGTACACACAATCCCAGCCTCAATCTTTTCTTTGATAAAGTGTCTGTCAACTTCAATATGTTTGGTGCGATCATGTAGTACAGGATTATGAGCAATATTAATGGCTGCCTTATTATCACAGTATAACCTCATAGGTAGGTCCATCTTCATTCTCAGTTCTGAAATTACCTTCTTGATCCATAGTAGTTCACAAATTCCATTAGCCATAGATCTAAATTCAGATTCTGCACTACTCCTAGCAACCACATTCTGCTTCTTACTTCTCCAAGTTACCAGATTTCCCCATACATAGGTACAATACCCAGAAGTAGATCTTCTATCAGTAATTGAACCTGCGTAGTCAGCATCTGTAAAAGCCTCAACAGTTCTACTGTTGTTCTTTCTAAAGTATAAGCCTTTCCCAGGACAGCTTTTCAAGTACCTTAGAATTCTGTAAGTTGCATCAAGATGTTCCTGGAATGGATTGTGCATAAACTGGCTAACCAAACTAACTGCAAAAGCAATGTCTGGCCTAGTATGTGCCAAATAAATCAATCTTCCCACCAATCTTTGATACTGTTGAACATTAACCGGAACTCCCTCTTTGACATCTCCCAGCTTTTGATTAGGATCAATTGGGGTATCTATTGGTCTGCATGCACTCATACCTGTTTCTTGTAGAAGGTCTAGTACATACTTCCTCTGTGATACCACAATTCCTTTTTTTGATCTAGCTATTTCCATGCCAAGAAAGTACCTCAATTCTCCCAGATCTTTGATTTCAAATTCCTTAGCTAGTTTCTCCTTCAGACTTGCAGTTTCTTCATAATAATCACCTGTAAGAATGATATCATCAACATACACAATTAATACTGCAATCTCCCCCTTACTTGAAAATTTCATAAAGAGAGTATGATCAGCTTGAGCTTGCTGAAATCCTTGTCTCTTTATGAACTGGGTAAACCTCTCAAACCAAGCTCTTGGGGACTGTTTAAGCCCATACAAGGCTTTCTCCAACCTGCACACCTTTGAGCCATACTTGCCCTCAAACCCAGGAGGAGGACTCATGTATACTTCTTCTTCAAGCTTACCATTTAAGAATGCATTCTTTACATCTAACTGCTGTAGTGGCCAGTCTAGATTAGCAGCTAAAGATAAGAGAATCCTTATAGTGTTTAGCTTTGCAACTGGGGCAAAGGTTTCAGTATAGTCTATGCCATAGGTTTGTGTATACCCTTTGGCAACTAACCTGGCCTTATACCTTTCCAGTGTTCCATCTGCCTTGAATTTAGGAGTAAAAACCCATTTACAACCTACAGTAGGTTTGTTCTTGGGTAATTCTACCATCTGCCATGTCTGATTCCTTTCAAGAGCATTCATCTCTTCCAAAACTGCTTTCTTCCACTCAGGTTTAGATAGAGCTTCCTGTATGGTTAAGGGAATTGCAATAGAAGAAAGACTAGTGGTAAAGGCTGCAAATGATAAGGATAACTGGGAAAGAGACACATAGTTTGAGATAGGATATCTGACACATGACCTTTTCTCTTTTCTGAGAGCAATTGGTAAATTTAGATCACTGAAATTATTACCTTTCTCATTTGCTGACATTGAGTCAGATTCATGGGCAGTTACAGGATCAGAGATGTCCTCTATTCTCTGATTTGGAACTCTCCTTTCATAAACCTTGCCAAAAAATCTGCTTGTCTGCTGTTCATCTTCTTTCCTTGTTTCAGTTATATTTATTCCATTTTCTTCTAGTTCTTGACTATTTTCTGATGCATCTAAGTTTCTATTATGATATGCATCTAGATTAATGTCAAGGAACTCAAGATTTTCATGAATATGCTGTGCACTGTTCTCATCTTCACTAGAATTCTCCCCCTGAAGATGAGTGTTAAAAAAAGGTTGATTTTCAACAAAACTAGTGTTCATAGTAACAAACATCTTTTTTGTTGTAGGATCAAAACACTTATAACCTTTCTGAGTTGAAGACAGTCCTAGAAAAACACATTTTGTACCCCTAGGGTCAAATTTGCTTGCTGTTCTGTCAGGATTGTTAACAAACACTGTGCAGCCAAATATTTTTAAGGGAAGAGAGCTGATCAGTCTAGTTGTAGGAAAACATTTTTGAAGTGTATCAATAGGGGTTTTAAACCCTAAAGTTTTTGATGGCATCCTATTAATTAAATAGGTAGCATGTAAAACAGCATCTCCCCATAAATATTTTGGAACTCTAGTTGAAAACATAAGTGCACGAGTGACCTCAAGTAAATGCCTATTTTTCCTCTCAGCTATGCCATTTTGAGCAGGTGTATTAGTGCAAGAACTTTGGTGTACAATCCCTTTTTCAGCAAAAAAATTGTTCAAGTTTTGAGAAAAATACTCACGGCCATTGTCACTTCTTACCATTTTAATATGGGTATTGAATTGAGTCTGAACCATTGAGTAAAATTTTTTAAACACATCTTCAACTTCAGATTTTTCTTTAATCAAAAAGACCCATGTTACCCGTGTGTGATCATCTATAATGGTTACAAACCATCTCTTTCCTTTCAAAGTAGAAACTCTAGATGCACCCCAAATATCACTATGCACAAGAGTAAAAGGACTAGTTGGTTTGTAACAATGGGGAATATAAGAATTCTTATGATGTTTAGCAAGTGCACACATATCACAATGAAATGATGAAGGATCTTTATTATGAAATAACTGAGGAAACAATTTTTTCAAATAATAAAAACTAGGATGACCTAATCTGTAGTGCAACAAATACACTTCATTATTACAAGGAAAAGAAATAGTTTGCAGACAAGCCTTTTCTTGGCTTTGTTTATTTAATTCAGTCCTTTCATCAAAAACATAGAGTCCATCTTCCTTTCTAGCACTGCCAATCATCCTCCCCGATGCCAGATCCTGAAAAATGCAATAAGAGGGATAAAATCTGACACAACACTGAAGGTCTTTGGTTAACTTGCTAATAGAAATAAGATTACAGGAAAGTTTTGGAACATGTAAGACTTTAGAAAGGTGAATGGATGAGGAAATATTGATATTTCCCATCCCTGCAATGGCTGAAAAAGAGCCATCTGCAACTTTGACTTTTTTATCCCCTGCACAAGGTGTATATGAAGAATAGAGATTTGGAATAAAAGTCATGTGATCAGTTGCACCTGAGTCAATGACCCAGGTGGCTTTTGTTTTTTCAGAACAGAAATATGAAGTAATTTTACCATTTTGGGCAAAAGAACAAGAAGGGGTTTCTTGGTTGGGTATTTTTTGGGTAGCAAGAAACTGGAGTAGGTGCTCTATCTGTTCCTTTGTGAAAGGAAACTGTTTGGAATTGACTTCCTGCTCTTGTTGAGTTTCAGTCATAGTAGTATTAAGAGCTTTTTCAAACTTCTTTTTTCCTGCCCCAAGTGGCTTCCCATGGATCTTCCAACAAGTCTCCCTTGTGTGCCAAAGCTTCTTGCAGTAATCACACCATGGCTTTTTCCTCTCTTCTCCCTTGACCACCAATGCTGAGGAGTCTCCAGTATCATTCTGAGGGCCTGTAGTGTTATTCATAATCCTTTTCCTGCTCTCTTCAACTCTGATTTCAGAGAACACCTCTCGGATTGAAGGCAAAGGCTTCTTTCCCAGAATCCTTCCCTTTACTTCATCAAAACTTTGATTAACTCCTGCCAGGAACATATAAACCCTGTCATTTTCTTCCCTTTTTTTGTGTTTGGCCAGATCTTTTGTACTTTCCCATTCATCATCATTGTATTGGTCCAACTCCTGCCATAGAGACACCATTTCATTGAAGTAGGTAGTGACATCTCTATCTCCTTGTTTGGACTGCCAAAGAATGGTTTTTATCTCAAAGATTTGAGAAGAATTTTCAAGGTCTGAGTAAGTTTCCTTTACGGAATCCCAGACCTCTTTTGCTGTCTTCATAAACATATGAGGTTTGGCAATTGAGGCCTCCATGGAGCTGAGAAGCCAGGCAGTGATAAGTGAGTTCTCTGATCTCCATGTGTTATAGCCTTCTTCACCAGAAAATTTTGGTTTGACTTCTCCCGTTAGGTACCCCAGCTTTCCCCTCCCATCAATTGCAAGCTTGACAGATTGAGACCACTCCAAATAGTTTTTTCCATTCAATCTATGACTGGTGATTATCATAGATGAATGAATAGGAGATTGGTAATTTGTCATAGAGCTAATTTGAGAGTTAGGGTTTGTCATATGGGATGAATCGGAATCTGTGGTTTCTACCATCGTACTGTGTAAACCGTGGCTCTGATACCATGTAGGTTTTCTAGGAATAAACTCCCTTGAATATTATTGAGCCATCCGGCATAGGTATTTATACAAAGTACAGATAACAGCTTTGCTGTTCAGATCCTAAAAAATAGGATCTTTCTACCTGCGTCCTTATCTAACAATTAATGAAGTCTATCAGTAGTCTATCTTCTCTAATTCTTATCTAATACACTACACACGTACATTAAATAAAAAATTACAAACATATGTCACATTTTCTACACAACATGAAGTGTTTTTTACCGCAACATAGTCGAATCTAACGGTTAAGATTCATCCTCATTTTCACCTAAAGGCTTCTTCTTATTTGAACCTCACCCTATATATATAGTTTAGTTCGGGTGGCTGAGTGAAAAGCTATATGCCTATATCCAGTAAATTCGAGATTGCAACTTTGGAATAAAAGATATTATATATGACACAATACTCCTGTGCTTTAATTAGGTTTCAAGTATTGGACTTTATTAAAGTTCTGTATAGAAAACTTTCATAACTGTTTAAGGATCTCTTTGATATGGAATCATGATGCGCTTGTAATTTATCCATGACCACCTGTTTTGTTTTCCTTATCCGTTTTCGATTTCAATATACCTCATCGTCTGAGATTATAAACTTAAATATACTTATTAATAACACACTTGATGGCCAACTTGTTTGAGCCACTTGAAATCAAATGGAGATTGATGATCTACTACACACATTGGTGCAACTTGCAACCAAGATCAATTCCAACAAAAAACATTGCTCAGTATTATCTGGATGCAGAAAATTTCAGGAACGAAAGAAAGCCTGTGTTGGAAGATCCAGCAGAAAAAAATAATTCAACAAATAATAAACTACTTCAGGAGGTAATATCTAATGTAGCATCTCGTCTCTGGATGCAGAATATTGCAACATGGAAAGAATGCCTGCGTTAGATGGTGAGAAACAAATTAATTCAATGGATCAAGAACTACTGCATCGTGTAAGACCCAATGCATTGTCTGGAACACTTTGTACCCAGCTGGAAAGCAGTTCAAGCCCTGGAACAGATTCTCCAGATGAGAACCAGCATGTGTCAAGAGAATCTGAATCGAACGTACGGGAATCACTCCTTTTTTATTTAAAATTCTTTCAGTGAGTCGTTGGCATAATCCAAAGGTGTAATTACACAGGACGGCTCCGTCGATGCAGTTTCAGACACGATTGAGAGCATGAGCGCAAGTATACCAACATCATTTGCCAGCCCAGCTAACCATGGTTAGATTGTTTTAGGTTTAAGTGTTGTGTTGCGAGAAAACTTATGTCTGTGTGATAGTGTATGCAATTATTTTCACTTGTTTCAAGGGGATAGCTGGATAATGCTGCATGTTCTTGTTACAGATGTATATGAAAGTCCAACAGAAAATCACTACAATCACTGGGAAATGGTATTGCCACCTGTCTTTCTCTATGTATAAAGGATAATGTTGTTACATGGTGGTCATTGCCTGGTTCATTTGTGGCCGCCATCTACCATAATTAACATTGAAACAACACTTCTCTATTTGGATGAAGAGTCCAAACTGTGATTAGTTTTTGTGGGGGGTTTAATGGTTTATGTATTATTTTTCATGATCCAAGAGGCTCTAGTATTTTGATACGTGGAAAGACAACATACGTGCTGTTCCATTTCATTCTTCTTTTTAACTTTTAGTTACATTTTCCCTCTTTGGCAGGGTGAAAACATGTCCATTGTGTTTAATCCTGATTTAGTCTATTATGGGGAAGCCTACTATACAGACTGTGTGGTGAGCTTTTGTAACAGTGGCATTGAAGTTGGAGGTTCATCTGTATCTGGGAACTCGGGGACTTTTAGCACTCAATTTTCAATCGATGACATCAACCAGATTCAGCTAGAGTATTTTACAAGTGTGAGTATTAGTGTACATTAGATAATTGACTAAAATTAGTTAACACTATATATTCATGCAAAATACAGTGTCAGTTTTACACTGGATGCACTTTATGCCATAACCTTTTATTGGAAGAATAAAAAAAGAGATAAAAATTCCAGAATTGTAACCATCATAGGGTTTTCTACTTGCATGGAAAATAATCAAATATAACGAGACAGCAATGAGTTAAGGTAGTTTATCTAGTCATGTTTCATGCAGTATGACTATTTTAACATCAACATGTATAACTGCAAATCATGGAACCTGGACGAGATATAGTGCTGAAACGGAGGTACTCAAATGCTATATTTTTTTTATTAGGCTGATGCTGGCCAGTTCAGGATTCATGTTATTTCAAGATGTCCAGAACAATCTGAAACTGTTCATGAAACTTCAGGTATAGTTTGCTTTTGTGAACTTGTGGTCCTTTCACATGCTTTAGTCTTTTTTTTGGGCAATTTTCTATATGTAGTTATAATTTTTTATACTTTCTTTACTACTTAATCAGAAATTTTCACCTTGCTAATTCTAACTTGTACACTGTGACACGTTGCTCCACTTGAGGAGTTGAGGCTTTTGGTAAGTAGTTATATTCACGTGGCCTCACTTTTCCTAGATGCTATGTGATAAGTATAGCTATTCTTAAGCTGATTCAAAATACTTGATGTTTTTGAACTTACTAATGATTGCCACCTTTAAGTTCCTCCTTTTGTTTGTTTCCCTTGTCCAATCAAGTCCTTCATACAAACAAAACCCAATAGTTGCAAACATCAACTGATAAATGATTCAGTAACATTTTTATGCATTGCACAAAATGCCCAAGCTTTCCTTGAAAGAGCACTCAAACATATCCATAAATCTATGGATCTCTATTCATTTCATTGTGCTGCCTGGTTCCTTCCTCAATCTCCCCGGCCCCATGATGCTCAAGCACAAAAGTAAATAGGTAAAGGCTTCTTATGGATGTCAACTTTACTGATAACCTTAAATGCATTTTACAAAGAAAGATCCTAAGTTCCTAACCACCTTAAGGACATTTGTATCAGTTTTAAAGCTCCGCTATACAGACTTTAGTAAAGATCTTTTATGTGCATTGAGGATGCTTTTAATTGGACTGAAATTTTCTGGTCTGATATGGTCTAGTCTAGTAGATGTCTATTCTATGTGTATTTTACAACTGTCTAAGTTTGATCTGGTTTGGGATTGAAACTAATCCAATTAAAAACATCATTAATATCCTTAAAATGTTCTACAATTTCTGTTATCAACAATATAGACTTTCTTCTATCATTTAACTTGTGTCGTCTAAGATTGTAAGATTTGAGATGATGCCACCTTATGTTGTTGTGGGAATTTTAAAAGCACCCTGCTTTTGTAACATTCTAATTTCAGAAGTTAAGGAGTTGCAGTTCTATGTTCACGATTCTGACCTTGTTGGAAAATGTGAAGCAATAACATCTTTGAATGAGTATAAGGCTGTTTGGTATTCCAAGTGAGTGTTCGACTCCTCTCATTTATTTAGTTGTTTATATGCGCTACATTATTTTTTGCTTACTAAAATAATATCCATATTGAATTTCTGAGTGACTGAATCTTACTGCGGCAAAGATGATGGTCATTCTTGTGTTGGCCAACAAAAGGCTTCTAGCCTTGAGCATTTTGTTATTTATTGTACAGATCTGTCATTCTGTCTTGAAATAATTGCATGTGGCTTCAGCTTTATCCACTCCTTTTTGTATGTAGGTTCACAATGATTGCCATCACTAGGGTATCAACCCTTACATATATCTATGTGTGTATCAGTGCATCTAGGGTATTCAAATTGAGTTTGAATTGGTACATCCTAACTAGAGGAGGTCCTATCTTTGTGGGTCTTGAAGAGATCTTTAACATTGTCAATCTTGGATAGTAGAGCTTAGCTTTTAGCCTTGAAAACGCTACAACAATCACGTTCTGCCTTAATGACATTTCTGATATTTTTTGTACAGAATATATAATTATATTTGTATACAAAATTATGTATACCATACAAATATCAAATTTTAAAAGAGAAAAACATACAATGTTGCAATCTTGCTGAAGGCACCAGAGGTCCCAGGTTCCCTGAGGCCTGAGATGGGTTGCCTGAGGTTGTGAAGGGAGGGAGGTGGGTTGTCCAAGATCCCGGAGGCTGGGAGGTGATTAATGCAATTCATGATACAATGAGATGAAAAGTTACCCGGTAGTCACTAGTCGGGACTCAGGTGATTAAAAGAAGTACTTGGCCAAGCTTCCTAGGGCTAGAATATCATAATCTTATATTCATGTAGCAAGCTGTGAGAGATTTCATTTTTACCCTTTCAAATTTTCAATGTGCTCTATAGTTTGTCATAAGACAAGAACAATGTTTTAAAACGCTAGTTCGGGTATCAATGAGTTATGTTTCAGAGAGGCATGGTGTAATCCTCAAAAATACCCAAACAATATCAATTGTTGATATGCATAAGTGTGAGTTGTGAAAGTCTCAAGTACAAATGTGTGCCATAATGGCACACCATAGGGCATTGTTAAGTTCCAGCGCCTGAGCAAACTCATCACAAATTCACAACCCAAGATTAAATCAACACACAAACACAGTAATGACCCAATACAGAAATTGTTCCCTGCCTCTGATTTTTCTTCTTTTTTGTTATCTATTAGGCTTTAAGAAGTATATAGGACTAATTGACTAACTTTTATTGAGTTAGCGGCTAGGCCCTGGTATCACGGCAAAACCCCCCGAAGAGAATCCACCTCAAAAAATCTCTTGCACTGCTCTTATAAACCTTGATCAAGAAGTAACATCCTTCATATACATAATTCACAAATTCATAAACTCATCACAAATTCACAACCCAAGATTAAATCAACACACAAACACAGTAATGACCCAATACAGAAATTGTTCCCTGCCTCTGATTTTTCTTCTTTTTTGTTATCTATTAGGCTTTGAGAAGTATATAGGACTAATTGACTAACTTTTATTGAGTTAGCGGCTAGGCCCTGGTATCACGGCAAAACCCCCCCGAAGAGAATCCACCTCAAAAAATCTCTTGCACTGCTCTTATAAACCTTGATCAAGAAGTAACATCCTTCATATACATAATCTTTTGACATTCTTGCTATATCCAACATTCATGATTCTCATGTGTTTTTGCTCATGTTATTGGTTTTTCCTGTATTTCCTCGTCTAATGGTAAATTGGTAACTTGTTTTCACGCACCAGACGAATGAGCTCATGATTTCCAATGGATTTGCCCATCACTTCATTCATTTTATCCTGACATGTTTCTCCCCCCCATTCTTTGGTGTCACCATATTACTGCAATGACAGGATATTTGAACTTAAACACGGTTAGGTGTTAGCTGTTTTTTAGTTACGACATTGACTCAATTTCATTTATTATGGCTATCAAATAATTGCATTTACCCCGCTTTTCTGCTTCTAGTTAGTCTTTATTTAGCTTTACAGTAAACTGTACCTTGCAGATTTTTTATGGGAAACCATGAGTTTATAACACAAATCCAGAATTGGAATGTTGTTTGCGTGTGTGTGCTTTTAAATGTATATATCTTTAATTCTATTTATATATATGACTATCTTTCTTATGAGCTGTGTGGTTCACCCTTGTAGCTCTGTGGTGGGTGATCGTTGGAAGGGCATGGCAGATGACCAGTTCAAACCATCTGTTAAAAAGTACTTTCCCAGGTGAGTACAATTGTATTAAGATCTGTTGTTGTTGGACATATAAACAATTTTGTATTTTTGCTGGAGTTTTGTGTGTTTATGGAAGCATGGAACCCTTTTTTCTCAAATATCTCAGTATTTTGGGTGTTTTTTCTCTTTTTCTCGCATTTAAAAAAAATCAAGCTATTTTTTCGTAATATATGTAATCACTTGGGCTCTGATATAATGGATCGATTCATGTTGACCGACCCCAAAATCTTTTGGGAATAAGGCTTGGATGTTGTTGTTGTACATGTAATCACTTGAATTGTAGCTTGTGAGATACTAATTCAACATGTTGTAGATGATTGGCATTTTTTATGTTGCAGTTGTGATGAGCCATTTGAAGAGGTTATATATCCTAAAGGAGATTCTGACGCTGTTTCAATTAGTAAGAGGGACTTTGATCTTCTCCAACCAGATACATTTGTCAATGACACAATTATTGACTTTTACATTATGTAAGTTTGTCTACTTTTTCTGCTTGTCTCTGAACTGATACTTTACTTGACATTAAAATAAATATATGTACTTCTCGTACGCTAAGTAGATATCTATGTTGCTTGGCATCACTTGCTGAGACAGAGGTGAAGCAAATTAGATATAGACTACATTATGTATGTTTGGTATTCAGTTTGGAGTTAGAATCTGATTGATATTCAGTTTATCATCTTTGAGAATTATTTGAATCTTGAATTGTTGAAGGTATTTAAAGACCAAAATTCAGCCTGAGAGAAAGCACAAATACCACTTCTTCAACAGTTTCTTCTTTAGGAAGTTGGCTGACTTGGACAAAGATCCATCTAATGCCTTTGATGGCCGGGCAGCTTTTCTACGTGTTCGAAAATGGACAAGGAAAGTGAACTTATTTGAAAAGGATTTCGTGTTCATTCCAGTAAATTACAAGTAAGAAGAAGTGAATCCAAGCTTTTCATCAACATTCTCCTATATATGTTATTCAAATCAATAACTTGCTTACTCAATGACAGTTTACATTGGAGTCTAATAGTTATTTGTCATCCTGGTGAAGCGGCAAATTTGGAAGGCAAGTTCTTACAATATGATGTTTTCTTTGAAGAGTGGTAAGACGTAAGAGTGCCTGTAATAATTGTTTCTAATGTATCTCAGATGATAATATTGGGAAGTTGTCCAGAGTACCTTGCATATTGCACATGGATTCCTTGCGAGGGAGTCATACCGGCCTCAAAGATCTATTCCAAAGGTATTCCTGTTATCATTTAGAAATATTGTACCACCTCCGCCCCTTGAAAAACTTTACATTTTCTTTTGGCACGAACATGGAATTGTATAGAAGAGATTTATGTAGAGAGGAAGGAAAAAACATCAAATTTGTGATTCTATCCGTAAAAGGAAATGGAAATATAATTTGAAGCGGATGAATAGTGACAGCGGAAAGTTCTTTAAGGGACAGAGGGAGTATTTCTATAAATGTTAATTTTTTAATTTTATATGTTTATTTTTTTTGTAAAAGCGCAAAATTGTACTTCTACATACCGCATGGTAAATGCTAGAAATATTAATGATTTTTACTTTAAAATTGAAATAGGGATTTTCATAATTATCTAAGACATTTTAAAAATGTAATAATGATATAATCACGAAGAGAACAATATGTATGTTTATTATCTCATTATTCAGTTGTTTAATCCGCATCGGATTTGGACTAGGCATGAATGTACAAGCAGTTCTATGGAAATGTTAACATTATCATTATCTTCATCTTCATTACTTAAAAGAAGTGTAGTTTTTCTCTATAATCATACAACCAATTCAATATATGTGTTAACTGTTGTAACTGGCTACCATTAATAATAAACCACTTATATATAAAGTCTTCTGAATGGGGTGTTGGGGGGTTTCAAACATGTGTTGCCATGCAGAAGGAATTTGAAATAAATATATGATCAACTTTCTCCTACTCTGTTATGATGCTTAAACAAAATGCTGCCTAAGATAATTGAAAATAAACAAATGAAATGAATGATACATAGGTTCGCTGCATTTTCGTCCTCGTGTGGAGCTTATATATCTCTTTGCCTTTCAACTTAGCTTAGCGAATTGGTACTTGGTTCCCTTCTTGAATAATTTAATGATTAGTCTCTGGGTGACAGTTACCTATGGGAAGAATGGAAAGAGAGGCTAAAGGAATTCTGTGAAGACATCTCCCCAAAATTTCTAAATTTGAGATTTGCTTCCCTTGAGGTACTATCAGGCATCAGTAGGCTGATATTTATATGAAATCTTCAAGGCTCTGTTATTTAAGACTGCTGACTGCCACATCATGCTTTTAAGTTTTCTACTAGTATAAAGTGGCTATGTTGCATGAGAATGTAATCATTGTTGCTCCTGCCCTCTGCCCTCCTGATTGCAATGTTCTAACCTTGCCCTCTAAAAGTGCTTTTGAGTGCATTACACAATCTGAAATTTGCTTGGCTAATAACTGATCTAATTTATGGGCTCCTAAATGAGCTCAAAACAGACCCAGAAGTACTATCTTTAGACTCAACATTTTTTGGTTTTTGAATAATTGTTTTGTATATCGGTTATTTTGGTCCATCAGAAAGGAAACCTTTTTTAGAGAACAATTAATCATTTTCATTTACCCCAGTGCCACAAAGGCTCCCACCTACGGTGGGGTAAGGGGAGGTCGGATGTACTCAGTCTTACCCCTGTACTAAAGCACAGAGAGACTGTTTCCGGATGACCCATAGTGAAAATCGCGTCCAAAATTGCATGGACTGACTGCTGCTTCATAAGAAAGAAGCGCAGACAGTTTAGTGAGCCGTTTTCCTTTATTCCATCATATTCTCAAGCCAAAAAATAATGAATCTTTGGCTCCATTGCAAATGATGGAAATTTAGAGAACAATTAATGAACTTTAAAATTTCAACTATCACATAAGCTATGCTAATGTATGTATATGTATACTAATAGTGTGAAATTTAAATATTTAATTATCAGTGGTTTTTATATGACTACTACTTTCTTGAGATTATATCAAACTTAGATGACAAGTCAAGTAATAGTACAAAATTCTAAGGAAAAAATTATCAATTAAGAATACATTAGTTGAAAATGTATTTTTCCATAATTGCAAATTTGAGAAGTTCACTAGCGAGTTCAATTTATGTCAAGAACTGCAGGCAAAAATCAATATATTAAAAAAATAAATTAGAGAAAAGGGTCAGATAGGCCCTCGAACTTACATAAAAAGATCAAGTAAGCCCTTATATAGGAGGCTCTGTCCGGCCGTCGCCATTTGGGACGGTTCTCGGTGGAATTTTTTGATGAATTTTTTTGAGCATCTTATTCATTAAGTCTAGTTGTTTACTTATACCAAATTTTAGCTAAAACTTCAATCGGGAAGGCATTCAAATGAATTCTTGAAGATAACTGCGCAGTTATCTTCAAGAATTAATTTGAATGCTTTTCTGATTGAAATTTTAGCTGAAATTTGGTATGAGTAAACTAGACTTAATGAATAAGATGTTCAAAAAATTTCATCAAAGAATTCCACCGAGAACCGTCCCAAATGGCGACGGCTGGACAGAGCCTCCTATATAAGGGCTTATTTGACCTTTTTATGTAAGTTCGAGGACCTATCTGACCCTTTTCCCAATAAATTATACGTAATAAATTCTATATTTTGACCAAAAGTGGGGAAAAGGATTGATAATTGAGCTATCTTTTATAGACTAAACTGGTAGAGTATTTGTTTAATAACATTACAAATTTGTAAGCTATCCCTCAATGGCTCAATCCCAATATAAGGTTTGCATGAGAAGCTGGCAATCACATTTAAGGCATTCTTTTGGTGCCCACATATTTGGAGTGAAGTGGAATGCCATTTTTTGGAGCCTGAACTTTTTACTCTAAAGGAATGTGAACCTTGTGGGATTTCATTTTTTTTACCATTTTTTACCAAACAATTTCCATCATTTTCAATGGAGCCAAAGACTCACTATTTCTTGACTTGAGAATTTGATGGAATAAAGCAAAATGACTCACTAAACTATTTGCACTTCTTTGTTATGAAGCATTAGTCAATTAATGCAATTTTCTACGCAATTTTCACTATGGGTCCCCTAGAAACAGTCTCTGTGAGCTTTAGTGCAGAGGTAAGACTGCGTACCTCTGACCCCCCTTCCCCACTCTAGGTGGGAGCCTTTGCGGCACTAGGGTAATGATGAATGAAAATGAAACAAATGTGAACCTTATTGTGCGACAGCCCAAAAAAGGCAGGTGAGAATGTGAGATCCATATTCCGGGAAGAATGGAGTATTAAATTCATCGTCACATAAGTTATACTCCCTCCGTCCCTATTTCATGTTCCCACATCAAAATGCACACATATTAAGAAAATGACACGGTTTGGCACTCATTGGACACTCTTTGGCACTGTTTTGTTTACCGAATAAGGAAAGAGAACTTTTTTAACGGACGTCTAAAAAAGGAAAGTGGGAACATTAAATAGGGGCGGAGGGAGTATATAACTATTTGTGATGCTGTATGCGATTTCCTCATGCTGGATAATATTATATAAAGATGCATATCAGCATATTGCTAGGTTTAAAACTTTGACAGTTATGCTATATGACTATATGGATTTCATGATAGATATTAATTAATTAGCTTACAAGTGTAATGCAAAAAAATGCTTTACTTGTCATGTATAACCCCGCTTATATTGACGTTTGTAATATAATTTAGTAATACCATTGAATCCTTGACATATCCTATCCTTGTGTGTGTGACTATAGCTGCCACAGCAGCAAAATCTTTGTGACTGTGGCCTCTTCTTACTACATTATGTGGAGTGCTTCTTGGAGGAAGATCCTGCTGTTATTAATCCATTCAGTATAACAAAGAGCAGTCATTTTGTAAGTGCAATTTGTTTATGTGCTTAAGTTTTTTTGGGCATCATGTCTTTGCACCTGTCAAACTCTCAATTCAATGAGAAGTGTATTTGTTCTTCTGGTGCAATGAGAAAATACTGCCCTAAACTGTGACTCCACTGATTTGCAAGAAACTCTTGTTCATAGGTCTTTACTAAGGACGCCACTATGTCATCAAAGCAGTTTTTTGTCTCTTCATGTTTTAACACTTTTTCTCTTGTTCTCTTTACGGCCTGTTTGGAGCCAAGAAAATGTTCGGAAAGAATTATACCGGAAATATGTAAGGGAAGTACTGGGGATTGTATACCATTGGTTCAATGTCTATAAATTTACATTTGGTATTTTCTTCAAAAGTCATTTTATTTGGGAAAGATATGCTTCATTGCTACAAATGTGGCTTTTTTTTTATTTTTATTTGAGGACCCTCTTATTAGTCCACGTTCAATTTGCGCATTTGGCTCTCTAGAAAGCTAAGTATTTTAAAATAAACAAAATGATGTGGAAAAGCAAGATTGAAATTTGTAACCCACGCTAGTTTTTTAATAGAGGATGGCCGGAAGTGGGAGATGGACTGAAAAGAAAAGAATGTTAATTACATGGATGAAAAATAAATAAGTAATTTTATAGGGACGGGGGGACCTAAGATAGACGGTGTTAGTGACTAAAAACATGGTTAAGCCATTCTATTTATTTCTGTAAAAATATTAACCACGGTTTATATTCTTTTGCATTTTCCTGGGTAAAGCCAAACACAAGAAATACTGTTATAAGCATTATCTGCATCTCTAATTTCTTTGGGATCCAAATATACCCTTAGTTAAGAGTTTTTGTTGTTGTTGCAGCTAGGCAGGGACTGGTTTCACCCTAATGAGCCTTCTTGCAAGCGGGGTTTTATCCAGCGGTTGATCTACGACCTCCTCCAGAGTAATAGTGGTGAACCTTCCGGTGAGGTCGAAACCTACACACCGTTTAACCCTCTGGAGAGAGAAAATCACCATAACCAAAATGATATAGAATTCTCATCTCATCCATTTGATGGTTCAAAAAATTATCAAGAGGAGGTACTGTGCGATCTAACAAATCAAGGTGTTGAGATCAACCCACTCTCTTCCTCGTTGTTTTCACTGAAGGATGAACAATGTGAAAGCAGTTCACGCTTTCATGGAACAGAATCTAATTTGCAGGCACAAATTGATATGCACTTTGGTAGTTCACGGTCTTTCGATGAGGTCAAAAACCCGTTGTCTTCAATTGAGGTATTATGGCACCCCAAATATGAACTAACTAGAGAAGAAAGAACTAATAATCAACTCTTCAACTTCACATTCAGGAATATGACTTCATTTTGGTGAAGGCCTAATGTTTGAATATCTTGATGTTTTGGCTGAGTTTGCTGACTTATCCAAATCACTTGTTTAAAAAGTATTTTCCAAATAATTGAAAGCAAAAAACACCTAATTAATGTGTCATTTTCATTGGTTTCAGCTGTATCACCCAAATGAGTAACTTATGCACTATTTTTTCATTTTTGTTGGAGAGTTTGTCTCCTATAAGCTGAATATAAAGTAACAAATAAAGAGCTGCCCCTATTAGATCAATGTTTTATGATGGAACCCCCAAATAACATCAACGAGCTAACAAGTATTTAAGTTTTTTTTACTCTTCCTCCTGTTAGGTTGGTCTCTTACAATGAAACTTGCAGTCTTCATAGATTTAATGAGCAACAATGAATTAAGTTAGTGAAAAATTTGGTTGGTAAGGCTGTTACTAAAAATTAATTCCCCCAAGTAGGAATAAAAACAATGTGGAATTTCAAAATAGGAGCATTATATTACCATATTAATATTGCCAAGCATTGCAAAGACCAGTTGATGAGCATTCCATATCTCTTATTACCATATTAAAAATAAGGGATTGACAATTAATTGAATGTAGGTATGCATGCCTACATTTATTCTTGATTGTACGTGGTAATCAATTTTAGGTGCTAAAGCAAAGTAATTTATATCATTTTTGCTGTTTCATCTTCATTTCATTCGGGTTCTTTTGTAATCATTAAAATATTCATTAAATATGAGCGGTTCAAAATATCTCAGTCATTGATAGAATCCCCAAATTTAGAAACTAAAACTTCATTAAGGCCCTGCAAACCCAATAGCTTCTCAATTACTGGATTCGTACTCCCTTCAACTTACTCTCATTACCAACAATACAATATTTCTCCATTGAAAAGTGTAGCACCTATCATTTATAATCTACATTTCGATGAGGCTTTCCTCTGTTCTACAGCAATTTTTAAGACACTGAGTGAGAAATGTTAGACTGCTACACTCTTTGGATCTGATGGATATTAGTATTAACGGAACATTAGGGAGGGTATTTTTGACTTTATAAGTTTTTTCCTAATAAATATAGTAATGGTATATAAGTTTTAAAACATTTTTCTTGGTATAAATAATAGGAAGACGTAGAAGGCACTGGAGAATTTGTGTACCCCCCAGCCTCCAATGAAGCTGGATTTGGAGATGTTGGAGAAGCAGTGGATGCTTCTGAAGAAGCATTTGAGTTTCCTTATGTCTGCAGGGATGAAAACGATGATGTCACACCAGCAACTTCTTGGAAGCAAAGGATTTCATCAAATGCCTATGAGCAAAATGAATGTGAAGTGACAGTTGATGGAAAGTGCGAATCTGATGAAGTGGAGAAGAGTTCAGATGAGGACGTTGATAAGCCAGCAGCATCCGTCGCAGCAGAAGATACCACCAAATGCTTTATCGATTCCTTCCCATCTGCTTCTTCGCATACAATGTTAGACATAACAGAACAACAGTCTGTTGCTTCTTATGTTCCAGCATCTCATCATGATGTCCCAAACAGGGAAGAAAAATCGTTGACCGAGAACTTATCTGTTCTGGTTGACTTTGCCATTGTTGATGATAATGATACAGCGCAATATGCCGCAAAAAAGATTCGGCTTATGAGTCCTGCTGAAAGGGAGGTTGAGCTCAAAGCCCTCTCTGAAGATTTGCATCTGTGATATCATGTCCTGTTGGTGATCCAATCGTTCATTATTTTTTGTCATAGATCATACTTCTCGTGTTAGTCGGTGTGATTATGCATATACTCACGCGTATGCCTGTGGGATGCTATTTTGTACGGAATACTGTTTATCCAAATCTTAATCTCAAATCGTCCAAGTTGAATTCACCTTAACATGTTGACATTTTTATAGAGGAACCAGCATTAGTGATCAGGTATGAGTTGGTCTAAAATAGACTTGACCATAAGAGAAGACTGATATTTCACCTTTGGAGTTTGGAGGGGTCTGCTTCTTTGTCCGAAACCTAACAAGTATCTAATTTTGTGTCAGCTTAATTCTAATGATATCACATTATCACGTATAAGGTATGCGTTTGACCTTGACGTGTTAATATAAGTGTGAGTATCGTATTTGCTGGAGTTGCAAACTATTGACTAAATTGATAATTAGAAAGCCTAATTACTTCTGGATTAGAGAAGGATTCTTCATTACGAACTAATTTTCCGTTTTCATCATTGTAATAAAAATCACAGGGGGGCTAGTTGGCGAAAAGAGCGTGTGGCTAGAAATTGTTTGTAGCTGCGAAAGTGTAATTGGTTATCAATCTTCATCACGTCGTTCTTAAATCTTCAACTTGGTGATTTGACATTAATACATTAACCAAAGTATTTCAATGAAATTATTGATAAAATTCCATTGAAATACTTTGGTTAATGATGAATGAAATTTTAATACACGAATTATCAATTCGGGACCTGAAAAATGAAATGTAAATGATATAGAATCTAAATGAAAAACTTGTAATTTAAGACTTGATTGATTGAAAACTATCAATCTAGGACCTAAGTTGTCATGAATATTAGATATTATTATTTTTCAATTATTTTTTTTTAAATATCATTTAGTTTTATTAAACTAATAAACTCCCGTGAAGAAAAGTTTATCAAAATTTAGCAATAGAAGTAATAAAAAATTAAATAAATTAATACCTATGAAATGTTATGTCCTATGACCTAGAATCCTAGATGGATAAATTTTTCATCATTAAGGTCCTATAAGGTTACATTTCATCTTTGGAGTCTTATACGGATAAACTTCATCTTTCGGATCATCTACGGATACATTTCATCTTTCGGGTCTCGAGTTGATAATTCATCTATCTTTCAAGTTCTTAATTGATAAAATTCCGTGTTTGGTATTAGTTGCCTACTTTTTACATCAATTATTATCATATACTCGTAACTTTTAGAAATAATTATAAATTTATGATCAAAATGAAGATTGTTTATAAAAAAGGTATATTTTCAAGTCTAGTAATTATTGTAGTAACTTTAATTGTAATACTTTATGTTTAATTTTTACATTTTGAGTGATCATAATACTATACTATTGTAATTTTTAATTGCGTAGTTTATTTTTGTAAATAAGTTTTACTTAAATTATATTTTTGAAGAAATATTTGATTTTTATTCTTTTAATAAACGCGTGGAAGAAAATATAATTTAGATTAGAGGTTATATATTAAGTGACGCCACATATAATTAGAATCATTTTGTACTTTATTGATACGTCTTTTATGTCGATAAATTCAACATTTGGTTTGTATTTTTAGTTTATTCACTGGTACAAATCTATTTTGTTACTCATCTATGTCCTTCTGGTCAAATGTACAAATCTATGTAATTTAAGTACTCATATTATACCTATATTCAGAAAATAAGAATGTGAGTGATTAGTTTGTGACCTTGTTAGCTTTAATCCAACTAATGGTCTCCCAAAATTTAGAGCCCGTTTGGTAACATTGAAATCAGCTGATTCTGCTAAAATTTATGAAGTTTTGGCTACATTGGCTGATTCTGCTGATTTATGAAAAAATTACATTTAAAATATATTTTACTAAAAAAACAAAGAAAAGATTACATGAAAAATAACTAAAATGATCCTCTATAACAACTTTAGCCAATACAGCCAGAAAAGTAACTTCAACTTTATTTTTTCTTATTATTACACAATCTAGCGCGGGAAACCAAAAATTACGTGTTTGGTGAAAAAGTTGACTGATAAACCTAATAAACCGAAAAGCATGATCACCAAACGGGCTCTTAAATCAAATGAAAAAGAAATTACACGAGCTTTATAATTTTGTAAGTTGAGATTGTCTAAAAGTTAGAAAAATAAAAAGAAAGTAAAAAATCTTCGTGGATGAACACAAATCATTTGGAAGCCGTAGCTTTGAAATTCCTAAATAAGACTATCATCTATGTATTAATCATTTGGAACACAAATCATTTGGATGCACTAAAATTATGAGGAAACTAGAAACAGAAAAAGTAACTTTTGATAAGAAATCTGTTTGGAAAGTTTCGAAGGAGTTTCTGTAAAGTTTCCAAAACAGAAATATACTATTTCCCGATAGTTTCCATGCTTCCTAGTCTGCAAGGAATCCAAGGATGTAAAAACTGCTATTTTAGCATAGCAGAAAACACATTTAATATTTTCTCCCAAGTAGTTGCCGTTTTTGGTGACAAAAAAAGTAGTTGCCGTTTTAAATTAAAAGTAATTGCCCCATATAGGACCATATATGTTTTATTCCCTGAATATGAGTAAATTTCTGCCAAGTTTGGCATTACTAGGCTTTAAACATGACATTTTTTTCAAACTTGACAGATTACTCCTAGTCAGGAATAAAGAACATGATAGTCTTATTTAGGAATTTCAAAACGTTTTTACTCCTATTTAGAACAATTTTTAGATATAATTACTATGTTGCTTAGGCAGCAGGTCGGATCGAAGCACTCGTCATCCATATAGTACTTACTAGACATTATTAAGATATAGGGTTCTCTAACTCGTTATAGCCGAATAGCCGATCAATCTTGAAGTTTGTAAGGTCATTAAGACTTATTGGGATTGCCTAATGGAGGAGTAACCAAATGACGAGAAGACTAATCTTGAATCATGTATGTTCATTGTTGTGGCTTCCTATGACCCGAATTAGTCATTAGAGCTTAATTGGATGTGACATCATATTAATTATATGAAGCTCTAGTCTAAAATGTATCTTGATATCTGAGACTAAACAATACCAAACACCATCCTATTGAAAGCGACACGAAATGACTAAAAGTTATACTCAAGGTAGTAAAATTAATGATTTGTTCATTTCCTGATTACATTCTATTAAGGAGTTATTAAAATCTTGAAATAACAATCAAATTAGAGTATAGGGTGATTAAGGAGTCATTGATGTATGAGATAGTTATTGGGCAATTCACATTTAACTCTTAATTATAAGTGCATTAAAGATGTCCTTAGAAGAACTTTTATTCTATTTTTTTTAAACCCAAAGATCCACCGTAGTGGGATAAATGCTGGGCAACATTTATCTTTTTATTAATAAAAGTCGAAATGAAGATTACAGTTGTACAATATCAAACGCTAATTAAATAAACAACGGATGGTAGCTAACGAAATTGAAGGCTTACGCATTTCACAAACGTGTGGGCCCAAGAAATGTGAGTCTCGGACTTGACTGAGGAGGAATATATGATAGAACTTTTATTCTATTGTAAACACATTAGAAAAACTCATTTAGACATAACGAAATTGCCATGAGCGCTACAATTACTTCCCTAAAAAGAGTAATTATTGTTGTGATTGCAAAATACTGTCAATTATGACATTGATACTGTAGAATTTAGAAACGACCAAATAAATTGCTCACGTTCACAGAAAAAGTGTGACTTTTCCTTGGAATCCTTGATCTAGAAATTTTTTGTCAACTTGTAATTAAAGATCAATTTTCATCTTCTCAGTTAGCTGTCCGGATGGTGCTTGGGGGCCCTGAGGGATGGGCTATCACTCTTTTTTTCTTTAACTGGACAAGTTTATTAGTTATAAAAGTTCCGAGATTAAAAACAAGCACAATCAAAAGTTATATGAGTAAATCTACAATTTTCTATTAAAATACAACCCATTGTATTAATAAAAAATTATATGAAAAAGTAAATTCAATCGGAAAGAGTAAGGTCAATCTTATTTCTTTTGATGATCACTTCTTTATCACTCATTTTATAAAGAAACGACGGATAGAGCTCATAGATTGAAAACATGGGATATCAAAAGTTTCGATTTCAAAACTTTGGTTCCTTATAATTTATCATCTTTTCATTTTTTATTGCTTAAAAAACTTTAATACTTTCTTATTTAATCAATGGTTTTCGTTTATTAAACTAGTATACAACTTGAAGTATATAACTTTTATTAAACTAGTATCATTTTCTGTGTCAGTCAAACTTAGCGAAAGTTAGGGAGATTCAAACTAAATCATTTTTGTTGTATTACTCCTTTCGCCCTATTATTGTCTTAGTTCCTATTCATTTGATCAACAACACAAATCACTTTTAATATTTTATTTGACATATCAATTTTTTTTATCAAATTTGATTTTGTTTTTTTGCGACTTTATAAACTTTAATATAGTTTTTAAATATGTAAAAAAAAAACTCTAAAAATAATTTGAGTGAGATTAAAAATCACTCTACATAATTGCATTACTTTGTAGGTAGTGCATTTTCCCGCTCAACTTTTAAAGCTATTTCAACCGTGCGATCGCATAATTTACATCTACGGCTCATGAGCATCTCTCTTCCTCTTCGTTTCCTTTGTATCGGAAAACATCCTTCTGTTTCATATCCCAAGCCATCGTCGTTACTCAGCAGTGAGGTACAGTTCCTCAAGGCAACCAAACAATTTTAGTCACACAATTTATTTAGGTTAAATGGACTGCTCATATTTCAGCCTACAACAACTCCATTCTCAGATTTCACTCCTTCCCATTCTCATACTTCTTTAGACCTCTTTACCTCTATGAGTTGAGATGCCTTCATAAAAGAACCTTTGTTCGGAATTCGTTCGTGAACATGGAGATCAGTCCATTTTCTGACTTCTCTCTGTCATGAGTTCGGCCATGTGTGCACCATGCCACATTCACTAGGTATGTTAGTCCATCTCAATTTCCTTATTTCAGTTTTTAATTTCATCTTCAATCTCTTATTTCAATTCCCAATTGTGATATCAGTTAAACTTATTCTTTTCCTTTTCCTCATTCTTCATTCAATTGCACCTTATATTGTCTTATTTCTGGCCGAAAACATCTCAGCAACTATATTTTTTCTTGAATTCAAGCAGGACTTCACTTTTAGGAAAAAACTGAAAAAACATTGGTTTGATTTTCTATTGGAAAAAACTGAAAAAACATATGGTTAGCGGTGAAATTGTGTATATATGCATATTCAAACCTTGGTTTGCAGCAAAGTACTACTATTTCATTTTAGTAAAGTACTACTATTTCATATGACTGCTTTTTTGCATGTTTGGTCTGCTTGACTGCTTGGAAGATTTATATGCTCTGTTTAACCACAAGTTTCAGAGAGAGCAAGCTAGCATCTCATAGAAAAACTGGAGATCAACTTTGTAGTTCACACCATTTAGAAAAAACAGAATCAAATCATTTGAATATAATGATAAGACTGGGTTATTTATTATGTTTATATCCTCATGTAGGATACTTTAATTTAAGCAGGACTTCACTTTTAGGAAGAAACGGAAAAAACATAGGTTTGATTTTCTATTGGAAAAAACTGAAAAAACATATGGTTAGTGGTGATATTGTGTATATATGCATCTTCAAACCTTGGTTTGCAGCAAAGTACTTCTATTTCATTTTAGTATAGTACTACTATTTCATTTTAGTGTAAACATATGTATTATTTCATTTTAGTTATTACTGTAAATTTGTAATGTAAGTTTTTTATTTTTATTGTTTACTTTAAAAGAATTTTAAAGTATAGAACAATAAATCTCCAAAAATGTGGTGCATTTTCTGTAATGGGTTTGTTATGCCTTGATCTAGATAGAATAGGCATTTGCGTGAGGAATTCATCAAAAGTGTTACAAATGTGTAAAATATGAAAACTTATCTTAAGTATAAACAAACAAATGCAGAGTAGATCTACAAAATATATGTAGGATTGCATGATTTTAAAATTTAAAGTATTATAACTTGACAAATTTAAAAAGTTGTACTCTTGGCCAAACATGTTTTTTTGTGGGTAGAGGGAGTAATTGTTTATTGGAGTTCAACTATCCACTTAACTGAGTAAATCAACCACTGCTTTAGATTCTGATAATCCTCTTAACACAACAGACCTGATATGGCATCTCGGCTTAGATTTATCTTTATGCTCACTTTCTCTCCATTTAATTGTTAAAATAGATTATTTCTTCTTAAATGCATTTGCAGTTTGATAATGCCAGTGAGAAATCCTCATGTTCCCACTTAAGCATATCCCTATTACAATTGTACGATCGATTGAATTAGATCCACAGCTTTCTTTCTTTCTTTCTTTCTTTTCTTGCTTCTCAAATCAGTTTGCTTTCAATAGGAAAATCCTTTTCTCAGCTTCTCATCTCCCCCTCGCAGAAACCAATTGATTGATGAAGAGCCAAGGACGCCAGGGACGAAACCGCAGAGGAATTTGGAGAAATAAGGACACCATGGTTGCATAAAGAGGGGATGTCGTCTGTGACCATGCTGCGCTGCTGCTCAGCTTCCCACCCGCCTGATCCATCTCAGAGCCGTGTATCACCAGCCGCCGACTTTACTATACTCGCCATCGCCGTTCCAGCCATGTCAGGCCACTTCGCCATCGTGGAGCTACATTGTCACCTCCTTTTCCAATGTTTCCTCGATGAGGTTCTGCTTCTCCTGACTTTAAATTACTACATGTTTCTTCAGAGCTGAGTAAGCAAATTTGAGAGGTGAGAAGGGACATTTTTTCTAGAATATGGATGGATTTTCTTATTCACTAAAAACTTCTTATGCATGCTTTTGGGTGTAGATTTTTGTTGAATGGGAAGCTTTCTTTCATAAATAATTTTAACAGCTTTAGTTTGGCTTTTTTATGGATATTGTATAATTTTATATTTTTCATTATCTGTTTTAATTTCAATATGTGCAGAACTTAAGATTATTTTTGCTTGGTTCACATATAAATGGTTCAGTTATAAAATAAATTACTACGTAATACATAAAAATTGTTTGCTTAGAGAGAAATAGAAAATAAAAATGAGGTTAGGATAACGGGAAGGAAAATAATCAAATATTGAACAGGGTGAAGTTAAGTCTGATGACTTACAGTGTCCAAGTTTGATATATTATAATGATCTCATCTCTTAGTCTGAATGGACCGGCTTTGTGTATTGAATAAAGTGCATCAGGTTGCTATTTTGGATTTTTTTTTAGTTTTTCTCTTAATTGGTTATGTGGCAGTATATATTTAATTTTTGAAGTTCAGCAGCCATTTAACAAAATAATGGAAGGCTGGAAGCAAGACTTGCAATATGGGCACGTATAACTCTACCCTATCTAATAAGCTCTAGCTATCTGTGTTAGTTTTGCTAAAATGTTAGATGTGTATGCCTTCAATTTCTGAGAGAATTTTGACATCAAAGATTATACGTAGTATGTGCCTCGGAGTTATTGAAGAGTACCACATGTTCCTTATATTTTGGACTAACATCGCAAGTTTATTTGCGATAAGCTCTGTTTTGTAGTTATGTGTAATATGTTTTTTTTTTATTAAAATGATCTACGGTGGTGGTGGTTTGCTTAATGCTATTAGTATATTCTTTTTCTTTTGATTCAAGATTGGCAGGTTTTAAATGGTAACTTTTTGTATAAATAAGATCATACTGCTTCATTCCTGAAACTGTCTGTTCGCTGAGGTAATGTTCGACAGAATTTTAGTTTTTATTGGTTTTTCCTGTTTTTTTTTTTAATTATTTAGTAATTAATTTGGTTTTGTTTCATCAATTTGAGTTCTATTTTTGAAGCATAGTAAAATATGGAAAAGGGATTACCTAAAATATGGGTACGTTTTCACACTTTGCTCTTAATGGGTTTTGGAAGGGTATACATATTATTTCACTTCTTAGGTTTACAAGCCATTTATTAAAAAAAGAAGCAATACTTGCAAACACACGTTGTAATTCTGTCCAATCTGATAATCGTTTGCTATTTGTGTTAGTGTTTCTAAAATGTAATATGTTTTCATTGTAAAAATTTAACAATGAATGTATGTATCGTGCAGGTATTGAAGAGTAGCCCATACTTCCTAACTTTTTGGACCATCATTGCAACATTTGCATGAGAGGAAGATAAAAATAGGAGTCTTCAAAGCACTGTTATAAATATATGGTTTTTTCATAAGCTTTTAAATGTGATAGTTGTATTTTATTATCTTTCACTATCAATATATGGTTCTTCCTAAGCTTTTAAATGTGATAGTTGTATTTTCTTATCTTTCACTATCATAATGGAACCTAAAAGGTGAAATGCGTCAATGCAAAGCACGAATAATTGAAAATAGTGGTGGACTCGGGCCGGGTGGCCCGACCCGGAACTATTGGGCCCGGCCCGGCCCGGTGGCCCGGCCAGGGACCGGTCCGGGTATGCCCGGCCCGGGGGGTTTTCCGGTGCGGGCTCGGGTCACGTAAATAAGGAACCGGCCCGGGCGGCCCGGGCCCGGTTCGAGCCAATTTTTTTTTCAATTTCTTTTGAAAACCTGGGTTGGGCTTGGTATTCTGGGCCATTTGGGGTTGTTTGGGGGGGGGGGGGGGGGGGTCGGGGGTTAATTAGGAAAAGGAAAAAAGAAAAAAAAAACAGAAATAGGCCCGAGGTCCGGCTTGGCCCAACCCGGACCCGACGGCAACCCGGGCCGGTCCCGGGCCTTCCCCCAAACACAAAAGGCCCGGCCCTGGCCCGAATCGGCTTGGCTCCACCCTTGATCGAAAACTATCAATTTAAGACTTAACATAACATGAATTTTGATACAGAGCATGAAAGATTCAAAACTATCAATTTAATACCATTAATAAAAGTAAGGAATATTTTTTGGAAAGAGTTGGTATTTTCTTATGTCATTCGATTTTCACCTGTGGACAACCTTATGTCTCTGTCACAAAAGTAACGTCCCCGTATATGTTGAACTTTAATGAGTGATGTTGACGGAAAACCGGCGAAGAAGTCTTTGAATGTTGTTTATAATTATGAAATACTACGTATATACGGAATAATAATTTATATGGAGTTTTTTATTCTTTATTTTATCTTATTAAAAACAACATATGCATTTTCTATCTTTAGACATGTATATACGTTCACAAATAAATTATTACTAACTGCATCCCGTAGTAATAAAAATTATTACTAACTGCATCCCGTACGATCACAAATAAATTATTACTCCCTCCGTCCCGTTGGAATGTTCCCGGTTTGACCTACACATATTAAGGAAATAAACTTATCAGGGGGTAAATTTTACTGTTTGGACACTGTTTGACACTGTTTTGCACTGTTTGACACTGTTTTGATGTAGGATAACTTTCCATTTAGGGAAATGAGAACTTTTAATTGGGACATCCAGAAAAGGAAAGTGGGAACATTTCAACGGGGGAATGTATTTAATACTGGGCAGAAGGAAGCACACAAAGAACAACATATACGCGCGGGTAGTTCCGTCTGAGCTCTCCTGCAAACTGTCCATTTTCTGGCATGTCAACTATCACCAATGTCCTTCTCTTCTTCTCCCCTCTTTAAATCCTTCGTCGAAAAATCTATATCGCTCCATTAAAATCCTTGATTGATTGAATCTCTCACCTTCTTCTCCGGTCCTCTGTTCATTTCTCCATCATTTTATTATGGACTGCTTCGAGTCATCAATAGCCGAGGCGCCCTCTATCGCCTACGCTCTCCTGTTCAAGGTCGCTATGGCCATACCCACACTACACTACTTGTTTGGACTGGCATTAGTTTGTTCGATTTCCCTGTACAATTTTTTGGAGTTCCATTTTCTTCAGGATCTCCTCTCCGGGTTCCGCGGAGATCCCGTTTCTCTAACCTACAACCCCTGCTCAGAGATATACCATGGAGTTGTCTCTAAATGTCGTGTTATTCATGGCAGGTCAATTTCCTGATCTTCTCAATTCAATTATTCATTACAGAAAGATGAGAATAGTTTGACCCGAGCATTTCGGGAATCGAAGCTGTCGTATTTGACGGAGTAGTATTTACCACAAAAAGATGATGTTGTGTTAGTTACGGTATATCTGTGCAGTGATGGCACACGATATTAGTTGGTGTTAAATACAAGTGGATTCAGTAGATTATTGCCGAGTTATTGTTGAGAATGAATTTGTTAACAGCCAAAAATACACTTTATGCCTCCTGGATATTGAAGTAAAATATAACATGAATGATCAGCCTTGCAATTAACGATTCTTTTTATTCTAAAAATTTCTGCTTTAATCCTACTGTTTTGCTGGATGTTTGCTCCAAATAGGTATCTGGCAACACCTTGGCTCTCTAGCCCACACCTCCAAACGTCCTTCATAAACTTCTTTGGGCGGCCTCCAGTTTTCAGATACAGAAGGTAGTCTTTCAATGTCCATTTAAAATTTATGTCAAGCTAGGTAAGGTTTTATAGCATTTTGCATCTTCAGCATGGTGTATATCTCTTTTGAGACCTTGAAATATTCTGTCATAATTACTTAGGGCGACTCTATTTTATCATTATTTTTTCGATTAGTTATTATTTGGACTCTAGCTTGCTGATGGAGACCGTTTAAGTAGTGTTTGACATTGTTTAAAAAGTGATTTTCAGATTAAAAAAGTTAAAAGTAGGGTTTTTTAAATGGGTGTTTCTACTTTAATTAAACACCTCAAAACTAAAAGCCGGAAGCAGGGAGTATGATCGGGGAAGGGTGCTTTAAAGTTTAAACTGTTTTTCACTTTTTCTACGGAGTATTACACATAAAGTATTTTTACCAAACACTCTAACTTTTTATTTTTCCAAAATCATTTTTCTGTCTACTTCCTATTGTGCGTTTTCCATATCATCTCCAAAAAAAATTACTTCTCAAAAGTAGAAGCAAACACAAACACTCCTTTAACCTGGTCCTATAGGTATTATTGTCTCGCGATGCTTTTAGCAGTTTGTATTTTGATGTGTATTCTTCCTATAAAAGTTTTCTGGAACAGTTAAAGTAGTTATAGAATTCATTCCTCTTCTTGAACTAATAGGCTATGTTGAGAACAGGAAAGTGACTGTGAAGAGAAAGAAAATGTTTAGCATTTCTTAAAGTTTGGCTTTACCTTAGAAAAAAAATAGAACAGTTTTAAGTTATATGTATATTTAGATTTGTTAGCCTATATATAATAAAAAAAATTAAAAAAAAGGCTAAAATGATTTATCGAGTTTGATACATTTTTTCCTACAAGTTTTCCCTTTATGTTCTTTATTTTCTTTCCTTGCCATTTTACAGGTTCCAAATGCTCTTAGCATGCATTTGATCTTCTTTCATCCCCACCCTACATATTGTATTATTGTAATTTGTAATATTGTATTTTGGTTTCATCTGAGCATTTTCATATGACTTTTGTCAGACAAATTTTCAATGCATCTGACGGTGGGACTTTAGCTTTGGATTGGGTTTTGAAATCTGATGGTAATTTACATTTTTCCTATCATACTGTTGTCAGGTTTATTTTTCGTTGAACTGACTCATTGAGTTTGAGCCAGAGCAAATTCATTCCCATTCTGATTGATTGACATGTTTAGAGGATTTTTTATGTTTTTCTTTTTTAAACGTTTACTAGCTAATTACATGATTGAAGTTTGTTTTTGCATGTAAAACTATTCCTATGCTTGTGACTCGTTAAACTACTTAGAAATATGCATATCTTTACAGTGTCTGGGAATGCTACTGACAAGAACATTGCCATATATAAGGATGATACGACACCTCTCGTGGTAGTGATACCAGGGTTAACAAGTGATTCTGCTTCCCCAGTGAGTTCTAAGATATTTCTGAACCATTTCTGCACATGAAATCAGTGCTCAGTGCAATAACTGACATGCAACCCTCTCATTTTCAAAATTTCAATCTTAATTTTGTAAACTTCAGTTATGGTTGGCTCGATTTTCGTTGTGGATTTTTTTTTTCAAATTTCAAAAAGTTATAAAGAATTTATTGCATGTGAATGAATGGGTGATGCTTCAGAAATAATAAAGTTCCTAACATGAAATAGGACCAATTGAAATTCTCTTCTGTATATTTCTAATGACTTTCTAATTTGTATTACTATGATGCAATGCAGTACCTAAAGCATCTTGCCTTCAACACAGCAAAATGTGGATGGAATGTTGTTGTCAGCAATCATCGAGGATTAGGCGGTGTATCAGTCACTGTTAGTACCCTTTTCCCCTACTGAACCTAGTTATTTTCTTTCATTTCAGAAGTATATCACGCGGAGTAACTTTGAAACGAATTGTGCACAAATTAGCTTCTTTTCTTGTATTTAGAAGGCAATTAAAAAAATTAAATTTCTAATACTAAATACTACTTTGTTCTTTTTTAATTGCAATAGTTTGACTTTCACGTTTGCCAAAGCACAACTTTGACTGTAATTATATTTAATTATGTATTAATAAACATTATAAAAATTTAATATTTTGGAAGTTCACATTAAGAGAAATTCAATACTCCCGTCCCGCTAAGATTGTCTCATCTTTCCTTTTCGGACCGTCCCACTAAGATTGTCCCATACCAAAGTTTGTGTGCTTTCTAAATCATTCTTACTTCATTCTTTCTTTATCAATTCAATATCAACCACATAAACCAACCTTTTTTAATAACCGCACCACCTCCCCATGTCCCAATGTTAGTGGGACGAAAGTAGGAATATGTTATACATAATAATTTGATTATATATATTAGTAGAAAATCATGGTCAAAGTAAGGTGTGTGATAGTGTAAAAATCAAAGTGTTGCAACTATTAAAGAATGGAGGAAGTATAATTTAATGCTGCACTTTTACATCTTCTGTAACATAAATATCTATTGGCTAAATTTAGAATTCTGAGAAGGCAAGAGCAGAAAACTCTTAAATGAACTACATTGAAACTGTACCCCACTTGACAATAGTGAAACATAACTTACTATGCATTGATGAATAATGGTTGACTAATTTCATAAAGTACATGTCTTTGAAGCAGCTGTATCCACAAAAATTACAGAATTACCAGATTACTATTTTATTTTCAATTCATCCACTCTTTTTATCACGGGAGTTGCTTTAAGATGCATGATACCCTTTTATGCCCATGCATACAGGGCTTCTTTTTTCCATCTTTTTTTCCAATTGAATATAGATCTGTCCAGTATTTTTTTTTTTGCGGGGAGATCTGTCTAGTATTGATCTGTCCCAAAGCAAGCTCTAGCGTTTGGTTTATTGGTATCTATGCTAAAACGCATTCTCATATGCATAGGTACCAAAGCATATAATCGTGCATTGTATCTTTTACTTATTATGTTTATTCAGTCAATAATAGCATCACAGTTACTTATTAGCTAAAGATTGAGCAGTAACGAGATTTGATTTTCAAATATGCATTCTATCTTTTAGTAATAATGAATTGAATATGCATCTTTTTAATCCTTGAATGCAGTCCGATGCTCTTTATAACGCAGGATGGACAGAAGACATAAGAAATATTCTTAAGTATCTGCATAAGGAGTATCCAAAAGCTCCAATATTTGTTATTGGTACCAGCATTGGTGCTAATATTCTGGTATTGTTTGCTTTATTTGATCTCATAGTATAAGACTAGCCATTTAGAGTTATCTCTCAATTGTTAGTATAAATTTAGAATGACTGGAAATCATTTTAGGCTCCTGACAAATTTTAGAACAATGAAATATTGGTTTTATATATACGTGCAATTGACATGCCATAATAAATACTTGATGGTTGCTGCATTAAATTCTTGATATAAGGTAAAATATCTCGGTGAAGATGGAGATAATGTTCCTGTTGCAGGGGCTGTAGCCGTGTGCTCTCCTTGGGATCTCTTGGTATGTTTTTAGTTTACAAGATATGTTGGTTTTGTTTCTTCACTATTGAATTTATTTTGGCATTTCGTTGACCAATAGACAAAGTAAATAATTGTTGCACTGTTTTAATAAAATCTCAGGTAACATAATAATTGCAAGTTACATCTCTAGGGTGATAGCATTACAATAAACATTCTGCTTTTCCTGTGCAGATTGGTTCTAGGTTCATATCTCGTAGGCTTGTGCAGAGGTTTTATGATAGGGCTCTTACTATTGGTCTTCAAGGTTATGCTCAAATGTAGGTTTGAATAATTGTTTTTATTCTAGCGTTGTTAGGTTTATTGCCTCACTTGCAAGGGCCTATCAACTAAGTGGAGTTTGAATAATGGTTTTTCAAAAATATAATAACATTAAACATTTTCTAGCAATGTTAGGTTTCTGACCTTACCTGCAAGCCTATGTATTGAAATAAGAGTGATGGTGATACATTTTTATGGCTTTGTGTCTTTGCACTTGACCTATGAATATCAATTTTAGTATAGTTGATTAAAGATGAATGCAATCCATTCTCATTTGTATTTGGATTTTTGTCAGGCATGAACATCACTATTCGCGACTTGCTAATTGGGAAGGGATTGTAACGGTGACATTACACTGCTTTCCTTTTTTACATTCCATACACACCCTAACTAGACATTCATGCTACTATTAAACAGACAGAGCTTTTAATTGCTCACTTTATATCCTTTTAAAGTAGTCTTTGCATATAGTTTATAAATATATACTCCTCTCAACCAGTTACGCGATGACACCAAACTCATGACAAGTGTGTGACAGTGGCAAAGACATAACTGCGGTGTTGCCACGTCATTTGGGGTGGTGCCGATCTTTTAAGCTTCTTTTATATTTATGTTAGCTCTCTCTATCCTAAAGTAAAGTTATTACTCCATCCTAGAACACAAGGAAAATTCTCTTCAAGGCCTTTTAGCGCGGATTTTCTGAACACCAAAAAATGCAATTCATTTACCAAGTTGTTCATCAAGTGGGAGTGGGGGTTCTATTGTGTCAAATCATTCCAAAAGATTGAGAGAAAAGGCGAATTTGGAAGGTAAAAGGTTGCTGTTGTTCAAATTAGGGAGGTGGACAACATGTTAGAAAAAACAAAAAAAAGGATGGCATATGAAGTGTGGGATAGGGGGCTATTATTATTAAAGCTTGCGCATTGATCTAGTGTTTAACAGGAATTGGCATCTTTGGATTCCTCACTGCCTCTTAGAGTTGAGAAGAGTGAATTGGCCACCAACCATATACCTGAAATGCAACCTTAATTATTATGTTCTAATTGTGAAATTCAAAATATCATAATTACTTATAATTTCCTTATTATCCATTATAAATCGTATTTTTGGCAAAACTGGTTTTCTTTCTAACTGCCATTGACATTGCCTGTCTTGTGATTCCTTGTTTTATGCAGTCACGCACAATACGTGATTTTGACACCCATGCCACCTGTCTTGTTGGGAAATATGAGGTTGTATTCTTTTCCCTCTTCTTATCCATTCTCTCATTTTCTTCTTTTTAAAAACAATTAGACAATGACGGAAGACTCTACAACGATCTCATTTGGAATTCGTGTAGTTACTAACAGAGTGAAATAACATTGCTTTGTCAAGACTGCGGATTCATACTATAGGTACTGCAGCAGTTCGGCTTATGTTGGGCGTGTTTCTGTGCCTCTACTCTGTATCAGTGCTTTGGATGATCCCGTGTGCACAGCTGAAGCGATTCCTTGGGATGAGTGCAGGTCACTTTTGATGTATATATAGGATTTAAATCCTCCAATGTGATGATGTTAATAGGAGGATTGGGACTAAAATCTGTCAATGTTATGATCAATGTGTTCTTTTTCATCATTCTCAGGGCGAATAAGAATGTAGTTTTAGCTGTGGCAAAGCATGGAGGACACCTCGCCTTTTTTGAAGGACTTGCTGCATCTAGCTTGTGGTATTGATCGCATTGTAACTTCAAAACGTTCATGGTTTCCTTTAAAATATGGAGATAAAAACAAACATCTTATGATAATTGTTGGGGCAGTAAAGTAAGTGCAAAGTGCATCATTTTTAGCAAGTAAAACTGAGTTGTGGACTTTATTGCAGGTGGGTGAGAGCAACTAATGAATTCATTGGTGTTTTACATTCCAGTCCCTTCATGCACAAACCAAAGCAGCAGGTTAGTTTTTTTAGGTAGTGCTTAGGTTATTGCTTCTTAGTTAGATGTAACAAAAACTAACCTTTTAGGTTATTGCTTTTTTTAGAATTTAGTTTAAAAGCAGATATTTTTTGTAGTCAATTTTTTGGACAATATTATCAAATTCAGTATTCAAATTTTTCAGCCAAAACACAGACTCCGTATAAAAACTTTTTTGGGGTACAGAGTACAGATATAACATAGGTTTCTACACCCAAAAATTATATGCAGAAAGAAAATTGCAACCTGCATTCTCAATCAATGGAGTCTTCGTCAATCGATCAAGGACCATACATTAACATGACGGATGGAATGGTTGCCCCAATGAAAAATAATGACCAGACATCAGAGATTGTCAAGGATGAAGAAGAAGAATATGCACAACAACTGAAGAGCATAACAGCAGCATCACAGGGAGGTGCCGATGGAGGTGATGTAATAGAATCTGACAGGAAGGTGGTCACTAGTAGCTTTGTGAAAAGTTGCTTGAGTCACCTCAGACAGCAGAGTAGGAGATCATTATGGCTTCTTGCTTACATAGCGCTGGTGTCATCCTGGCCACTGGCAGCTCCAGCCCTTAGCTTCCTTTTTAAGAAAAGGGCCAAGAAAGTCATGCCTGCCAAACCCTACTAGAATTAGCCATGTCTCTTTTTCAAATGTAAAGTGTTATTGTTTTTCTACAATAATATAATATGCATATGTATTATATGCCCCTCATTGTGGCTTATCATATACAGAGTATACTTTTAATAAGCTCAAGCTTTATAGAAGATCAGAGGTACAATGCCATTATAATTGGCATGAAAATTTCTTTATACTTTCTATAGTGCAGGCTGGTTATTACATAAAACTGTATGGTACAATAGATATAAAAAAAGCAACATTAATCAATGTGGTCAAAACTAAATAGTTTGGAGTAAATCTACAATCTGAAACACAAAAACAATACCTATAGTTAAACGCTTTGGGTTATCATCATTTTCATCATTTTCATTTACCCCAGTGCTGCAAAGGCTCCCACCTACGGTGGGGTAAGGGGGGTCGGATGCACACAATCTTACCTCTATATTAAAGCATAGAGAGACTGTTTCCGGATGACCCATAGTGAAAATCGCGTCCAAAATTGCATAGGCTGACTGTTATTTCATAACAAAGAAGCGCAGACAGTTTAGTGGGTCATTTTGCTACTAAAAAAATTGAGGAACAGAAATTGACCAATTGAAGTCTCTAAATTGACCAAACAATAAGCGGTTAAATATCAACTGAACAGACTAAAACCGATTACAACTGATTGAACAGACTTAAACCAGTCTAAGCATGTCATAGCCAACAAGAACTGATTGAATATAAACATACTGGAACTGACTTATGTTATTCGGTTCGGTTCACAGTTTGGCATTTCTCATCAGCCAACCAGTGAACACCCCTAGAACTGAGCAAAGATATCTAGAACCAAGTTTTGTTTTGAGGATTTAAAAGTACAATTTTGTGGATCGAACTATGAAGATAGAATGTCCATACCTAAATGAACAATTGTTAATTGCCTTATACTAGCTGAATAGAGCTCTTTAATAAACACCAACTACAGATGGGAAAGCATCAAACAGATAGGTTTTACAACTCTGTGTTTGATGCTTTAACCCTTTCTTGTTCTTCATCTTCACCTTCCCATAATAATTTGAACTTGAGAATCTTATGAAGCTGGGTAATTGGCTTTATTTGCTTGCTTGATGTTTGCTTGGGATTTGCTATGCATTTCCCTGAAATAAGGTTAGTTTCAGATGGACCCGTCTCTTCATGAACCACTGGACAGGTATCTGCAAAAAGTTCTTTATTACAACATGTGAATACTTAAGGTTGTGAACAATGTATCTGAAATCATCTATGTCAGGTGCACAATGTACTCCAATATCTATAATAACTAAAATCATGGGAACCTGCATATATAGATTTAAATAAAATAAATTCTTGTATACAATTATTACATATTTACATATAAAATACGTAGTAGTACTATCCCGAAATGCAACATACATCTCGGTTTAGCACAACTTTAAGAAAATAAGGAAGATAATTTTTATTTTACAATTGTAACCTTTTAAAAGGAAAAGTAGCATGCATCCACAAAAATGTAAAAAACTGACAGATACAGGGTGTGGGGAATAAAAGAAGCTAGTAGAATTCAAAGTAGAAAAACATTCTTAATTTTGAGAGAAACAAAGAAAAATGTACTTCCCCCGTCCAACAAGACTTTGACGACTTTCCTTATTTAGAGCCGCAAAAAAATTTGTCACTTTCGTTTACAATAATTAAAACTCTGTATGTGGTTAAAAGTTATTTCTCTCTCATCTACACAAATCTTAACCACGTGATTTTAACTTTCTTATTCCATGTGCAAGTCAACTTTAGCAAAGTTTTATGGGACAGAGGGAGTATAACATAATGGGACAAATGGAGCCATTTTTTAAACAGAGGAGGGGGCCACGTGCCTCCCAAACCAGCCAGGTCCCTTTTGAGATCCACCAGTCCACACCATACACCATTGAGCGCTTGGCTCAAAATACCAACCATTAAAATGATGAGAATAGATTTGCACAGCACTAAATGCAACAAAACTCAACTTGAGGTGACCATATAACTATATAAGCATAGTCAGACTATGAAATGACATATACTTCACTGATTTGGGAGGGGTCGTAATTTTAAGTTAATCAAATATTTCTAGAGCAAGACAGATGCATCAAAAAAAGCTGATGATTTTACAATAATTTTCGCAAACACATATCTTGAAGACTTAAATATCCATCATTTCCAATGGAGCCAAAGACTCGCTATTTTTTGGAATAAAGAAAAATGACTCATTAAATTGTCTTCGTTTTTTTGTGCTTTTAGTACAGGAGTAAGGGTGCTTACATCTGACCCCTCTTACCCCACCACAGGTGGCAGCCTTAGCGGCACGGGGGTAATGATAATGCTGATGATTATGTGATCTTAAAGACTTGAGCACAGATTCTACAATAAAGTCCTCTTTCAAGCACAAGACTTATTTTGAAAATATTATTTTCAAATGATATATTTGAACATTCAACCTTATAATAAAATGCAACTAAATATATGAAATTGCATATACTGATATATATGTTTAAGTAACATTTTGTTTGGCGCATAGCTAATAAGCTTTGCAGCATTATAGACATTACCGCTAAGATGTCAAAGATTATTACCAAGACATACAAAAAGTTACAAAAGTAATACTATGGCTCACCACTTTCACTAAAAACAAGACATGTCCCAATAGTCTCCACATATTCTCCAACCTGTGACAAAAAACAAATAAAAGGGAATTGATTGAGTGGAGAGTATTAGTCAACTACAAACTATAGCACGAAGAGAATTGAGCTTTATAATGATATATAGTCCTAACTCCTAAAGAGCATACTCTTTCTTTTTTGAGGTGAAGAGAGTGGAGGGAGGGGGCATAGAGTGTGAAAGCAACATTTTACAGGAAATTCATAATGCAGCGATATTGAATTATCAGAATTCAATAAATACATTATTTATAGCAGCATGAAATTCTAAATGTTTGAAACCTTTTTCCAAAAACGATCACAAACAATCCATTTTGAGAATTCTATAAATACATGGTCTATAGCAGCATGAATTTCTAAATATTAGAAATCTTTTAGGAAAACTACCACAAACAATCCAGAACAATCCATCATTCAGAAAAAACAAATTATTATTCAAGAACATGATTGATTAGATCATAAGAGTCAAAACCCCAGAGCTCACCAGCTTGATTTTTCCATCAATGATCAAAATAGGATTCACAGTATCGAGGCCCTGCATCAATAATTAGTGTGCCGAGAATTTAGAAAAATCAAAACACGTATAACATGATTAAGTATCAGGTAGTATATCTATGAATGAGAAGAAAAAAAGCATACTGAAAGGACAAAGGGGGCGTTTTTGGGAATTGAAATTTGGTCTGAGACACCATCCAGATCCATCAGTACATATTCTTCCTCCTCCGATTCCTGAATGTGCCCTTGCGTATTATGTTCCATCACTCCTAAATTCTAGGCGTTGGTCTTACCTTTAGTATCTACACAACATGGACAAACTTGTAAGCTTAAACTTAGGATGCCACAACGAATAATCAAAACTTAGAAACATATAAGAAATCTATGCCAATTGCCCGTAAATAAACTCAGAGGGGTATTGTATATAGATTGTGGTAGGAGGCGTGGATTTTTTTTTAATCCGGGTACTTTCAAAAAGGTCCATAAGCTTTAAAATTCAAACTTTTTAAGAATGATTTCCCTTGATTTGCAAAAAAGCCAAAAATCTATGGATTTCATGGGAGATATTTCTGAAAAAAATAATAATTAAAATAACTCAAACTTTAAAAGATGGTGAAGTAAATATGACTTCATTACATATTTCCGTAAATATGACTTGTTTTAATTGTAAAAATTTTACTCGGTTAGACGGTTACCTGCGTAATTATAGCTTCAAATTCACTAATGTGTATGACGATTTTCTAGTAGTGTCTTCACCATCCTATTTTTAATTACTAGCACGTCAATAATCTTACGCATACTACAAACATGTAATATTGACATGCTTAATTTCTATTCGAAGAATGACTTAAACACAAAACTTTAAACTACAAAAAAGAAGCAAACAGAAAAGACTACACACAAGCAAAAACTATCCAGATATCTGTGCTAACCTCTATGACGAAGAGTCAACAACGCGGGGTCGTTTTACAAGCAGAATCCAAATATGTAAATGCGTTCGAATGTCGGAATGCCCGCTTGAAACCTAAAATTTGTTTTCGTTCTGTTATTAGTACCGTCGTTATGTAATTTGTTGCTGTGCAATTGAAGCTAATCTCTGCAAGTTTGCAAGGTTTTATACGGATTAAAGATTTTTTCTAATGAGACAGCGAGCAGAAAATTAAAAAAAAAAATACATCAAAATTTATATCTATTTTTAAAACAAAAGATTTTCTGGATGAAGTTGTGCTAAAGTTTCTGAACCGAGTGCTAAAGTTTCTGAACCGACTGAAATTGGTGACACTTAAATTGGCTGAATCGGTCGATTCTGCTGAAATTTCTAAATTATGGCTGAAGTTGATGAATTGACTGATTATGTTGATTTATAGAAAAGTTATATTTAAAATGTTACTCCCTTCGTATCTATTTACTTGTCTCACTTTCTCTTTCGGGACGTATAAAAAAAATGTCTCATTCAGTTTTTGGAAAGAAACTCACTCAAAAAGCAGCTGCAGTACCGCTATAGTACCCTACAGTATCAAAAACCTCCTACTTTACATATAATTGTCTTAAACTACGTAAAAAGGTAAACGGGCCAAATAAATAGATACAGAGGGAGTATTTATTAATAAAATAAAGAAAAAATTATTTGAAAAAATAGCTAAAACAATCTTCTACAGTAACTTCAATCAGAAAAGCAACTTCAAGCCTTCAACCTTACTTTTTCTTATTATCACACAACTCAGCGTGTGAAATCAAAAGTTAAGTGTTTGGTGAAAAAATCGGATGATAAGTTTGATAAGTTGAAAAACAGGATTATCAAACGGACTTTTAATTTATGTGTGAGCTTTCCAAATTACAATTTCCTTGGAATTCCGTCATTTGTAAGTTAGCCTCCATGCCCCTTGATTAGTCACATATGTTGACTAATTCATTACTCGGAAAGAGTTGATGTTTACTCCGTATAGTTTTGCTATAAATAGAGAGTACAAGCAGATGGTATATTACCCCTTGTATGACCAAAAGAATTGGTCATATTTTCCAAAATATGACCTGTATCTGTTTCTCCCTAAAAGAATGCCAAATAGCATGTACCTTACCACCAAGTGTTTCCTTTTTCTTATATCATTCCATACATATTTAGTCATATATTGAAAAAGTATTCAAGTAACGTTCTGTTATAATTTAGAAATTGACATGAATTTTACTCCCTCCGTCCCGCTAAGATTGTCTCATTTTACCTTTTCAGGAAGTCTCACTTAGATTGTCTCATACCATATTTGGTAAAGATTGTGTGGCTCTAAATCATTCTAACTTTATTCTTACTTTATCAATTTAATATCAATCACACAAACATACTTTTCTTAATAATCGTGTCACCTTCTCCCGTCCCAATCTTAGTGGGACGGAATCACGGAGGTAAGTAGTATTTTACTCATGTATATGTATTTTTTTCAAAAGAATTTGAAGTCGACTACAAATTGAACCTTCTTACAATTAGTCATGGACCCGGGCCGGGGCAGGCCGGGCCCGGCCGGGCTTTTTTTTTTTTGAAGGAAGGCCCGGGACCGGCCCGGGTAGCCACCGGGTCCGGTTCGGGTCCGGGCCGGGCCGGGCCTCCGGTTTGGTTAATTTTTTTTTTTGCTCTCCCAACCCCCCCCCCTCACCCCCCACCCCCCAAACCCCTCCTAACCATCAAGCCCAACCCGGGTAACCCCAAAAAATGAAAAAAAAAAAATCAATTCGGTCCGGACCCAGGCCCGACCCGGCCGACCCGGTTCGCCAAATACAAGGCCCGAGCCTGGCCCCCCCTCACCGGGCCTAGGCCCGACCCGGACCCGAGAACCGGGCCAGTTCCGGTTCCGCACAATAGCGGGCCAGGCTGGTCCCGGGCCGGGCAGCCCGAACCGGGTCCATGACTACTTAAAATCTTACATGGTCACCCATCCACAAAGTGACAAAACCATCTTAATATTTTGCATATAAATAGACATTCTTTTAACCCAAGACTGAATCGATCATCTCTCATCTTTAAATCCAAGACTGAATAGTCTCTGGACTCTGATCCCCAAGTTGCCTAACCCAAGACCTGGAACCACACCCAAATAGGCATGGGCCGGTTCTGGGCCGGGTCGGTCCAAACAGGACTTCTTGTTTGTGGGTATAGGCCCGGAACCGGCCCGGAAATTCCACCGGGACCGGGCCGGGCTCGGGTTGGGTTAATTTTTTTTCGGATCCAAACTTCTTTGTTCTTTCTAAGTCTACTTCTTGCATAGCGCAACTGGAAATTTTGTGATTTGCCTATTCTTTTTCCAATTTCTTCTATTCTTAATTAATTCCAACCCCCCCCCCCCCCCAAAACCAAGCCAAACCCGCATACCTTCAAAAATATTTGAAAAAACCAAAAAAAATGGCCCGAAACCGGCCTGAGATTCACCCGGGACCAGGCCGGGCTCAGGTTATTTTTTTTTTTTTAGCTTTTCTAATTAATTCCAAACCCCCCACCCCCAAACACCAAGCCCAACCTGCCTACCATCAAAAATATTTGAAAAAACCAAAACAAATGGGCCCGGACCAACAGGGCCTGTTACAAAGGAGGGGGAGCCCGGAACCGCACCGAACAATCCCCGACAGCCCGGAACCAGTCCCGGTTAACCGGGCCGGTCCGGTCCCACACAGTGGCGGGCCGGGCCGGTCAGACCAGAACCAGGTCACCCATACCCCCAAACTGGTTGTAGCAGGAATCAGATTGCCGGTCTTGTACCCATTTAAAAAACAGGCAGTGGCCCAGATCGAAACCATTAGATCCCCAATCTCTAAATGAGAAGATGTGGATATTCAGAGTGAAAGGTATATTCAGATGCTTTTGCAGTTTTGCTACATATTCAAATAAAACTGGACTTCGAGTGTTTAATACACTCCAACTAAATAGAGCAGTACAAAACTAAAAAAACATTACTCAACATGTTCCTCAAGCAAAACACTAACCACGCACCAATCAAAAGAAACGAATTACAACGTTAGTACGAACACAATAAATACTTCGTACTTTACAAAATATTCGCTCTTATACACATAAAAAATGTGACGTAGGACTATCATTTCGTGAAGTTCAATTTGCGACACTAAATAAATAATTATCCCATCAACACAACTCTCTCTGAGGGCATCATGGATGAAGCAGCATTCCCAAAGACGTCACCGCCATTGCATTATTTCTCCCTCCTTCAGACAGTTAACCCTGACTTTAGCTACCTCCAAAACCACACCACGACATTGACACTGGACCGGACCGACCCAAACTGACTGACCTGTGGGAGGTAAGCTGACCTGACCTGACCTGACACGACACAACCCCAGACACCTGACTTCTTCTTCAAGCTGCACTTGAAATTCCCCAACTCAACAACTCCTTCAATTGCTGTGCGAAAAAGACATCCAATAAAACCACTCTTGTTTTGAATATAGATAGAATAATAGGATATAGATCAAATGTGCTTGTTAAGTCAATAATTGATTCATTTAGTCATGAATGGAGAAACATATTCCTACACATTTCTAGATACTACCTTCATTTTTATTAGTTGCACCTCTAGTTTTGTGCAGAGTTTAAGAGCAAAACAATACTCCGTAGTAGCAAACTATGTAGAATATTGAAAAAAGTGAGTCAGTTGGTCAAAGAATAGAAAAAAGGAAAGACAAGATGATAAAATAAGGTTTAAGTTGGCAGATCGCAAATGGAGAAGTATTAAAAACCATCTTAAAAAGTACTACGAAGCAACTGAATAAAAACAGGGTTTTAATTGATAGAACACGCAAGAAGTAAATGAAATAAATATCAGTTGGCACTTTTACTGTGCCTTTCTTAAATAGATTGCTAAATGGGCAATTACTTGCTATTTTATGAACTTCGTGCATTTAGTTAATGGACAGCTATTTGAGATCAAAGGGACTAGAACAGAGTAGGTGATTTATCCAGAAGCACAAAAAGAAAAAGCATTGACCATAAATTAAGTGAGAAACATAAGGCAAATAATCAGCTCTGGTATAAACTTACACTCAGCCGAATTTGAATCCCCCAGCAGGGACATGGACATCATTTCCTCCAAAGTTAAACCCAGTCTGAGTTGTTCCATCGCCTGCCGCCGGTAAAGCACTCTCCTCCTCCTCATCTAACCAATACGTCTCCAGTATTTTAACTGCTTTCTCATAGATTTCAGTGTTATCATGACTCTGTAGGTTTTCAATTTTTTCTAACCCCTCGGCATCATCAATCAGCTGTGAATAGTAATTGACGCCATCATTCTCTGCCTTTTCTCCTTCACCTGTCTTCAATATGTTTTCTAAACCTTCCAAACAGACAGTTACTATCCTTGGATCAGGGCAAACAAGGAGGTCACACAGAGGTTTTATGCAACCCTGACTAACAAAGAACCTAAACATTCACATATAATGAAAACGTTAATATGAAAAAAAAAACTTAATAAAACAGGAACACACATAAAAGCAAGATGGAATCTCATACTTAATTTGGTCATTGGTTCCACCAGAAGTAGCATTTGATATAGCCCAAGCAGCTTCTTTCTTGATATCAAATTCCGCGTGTTGAAGCAAATTTACTAGAGGCCCAATCAATCCAGCATCAATCACAGCCTGTATCTGGACCCTGTTCCCAGCAGTTATATTGGAAATAGTCCAGCAAGCTTCTTTCTTTACACTCTTTTTGTGATTATGAACCAACAAACTCAGCAGACAGGGAAGTGCACCACAGTCAATTATACACTGAATGGCGACAACGAATGTTAGATTCATCAGAGTATATATGTTAAGGAATTCGATAAAAAGTTCAAAATTAGTTTATTGTCAAAGTAATAATTTGTTACGAAAGCAGGTATAAGCTTGGAATATCCGAAAACAAAAAGGGCAGGTGTAACCTATGGGGAAACACGGTGTATATAAATAAAAAGTGAAAACAAGGAAGAGTGTACTTGAGGGTGGTAAATAGAGCAGAAAGGTGCAGATAGTATTTTACACTCAAATGAGTGGATTAGGCTTTATTTCCCCATGTTCCCCCTTAATTCACCCCATTTTTATCTATCAATTCACTACAATTCAAATATTTCCACTATTTCTCTTCAAACAAACAACTACTATTCCT